AAGGAAAAGGTGACTGGCAGCCAGCTACTACCCCAAGTCCAATAGGCTAGTCAAGGTGGAGAATGGCAACAGGGAGTCGTGGAATGTCTCATCTCCTTGCTTGGTCTGGGTTACGAAGTTTGAGTCTCACTGCTTCCCAGTGAGGCTAGGCTCTCCTGTTTTATAGGGGAGGACTTGGAGCAGTGAGCTCACAAGACCAATTTCTTGCAGATGATTAAAGGGAGCAAGGGTACATGCAGAGGAAACCCTGAGAAGTGCCTCCTGAGCCAAGTTGTCTCCTCATGGGAGGACCTCACTTCTCAGCTCTTCAGAGAGAGCATCCTCTGACTAACATTTACTTCTTTATTGATTCCGACCAGTGTTTAAAAACCCTTGAGTGGTAAAGAAAGGACCAATGTTATGACTTACAAGTTCTTGCATATACTAGGTAGCGGTTAGGGTCAGGTGATGACAGCTGTGTGAGCCCACAGTTGGCGCAGTTTGGAGGCCCATGATGGACACAGGTGTACCAATCCTTGGCCAGGCATCAAAGGAATTTCCAGTACTATTCAATTGACACAATGAAATAGTTAGCTCTGCTTGCTATTTTATGAATATTAAATGTTGTATTTAAAGTTAGGGCATGAAGCCGGGCGTTGGTGGCGCACGTCTTTAATCCCAGCACTCGGGAGGCAGAGGCAGGCGTATCTCTGTGAGTTCGAGACCAGCCTGGACTACCAAGCGAGTTCCAGGACAGCCTCCAAAGCCACAGAGAAACCCTGTCTCGAAAAATCAAAAAAAAAAAAATAAAGTTAGGGCATGGTCTGAGGATTAAATAAGAGCTATCTGTATATTCAAGATAGTCAGCTTTAAATATTATCTGAATATTACCACTTTATCCTATTTACAGTAATTTTTTTACATAGGTAAGCCTTTGGTTTTTTTTTTTTCAGATATCGCCAGGCATGATTTGGCATGCTTTGGCATGCTTTTGTTTTTGTGTGTCACTGGTTTGGTTATTGATGCTCAGTTTTCCAGAGTTGCATTCTATTGCAGTGTCAGAGGAAACCAGGAGACTGGGGAGGTGACTCAGTATAGCTCTGTGAGTATAGGGACCTGAGTTTGAATTCCCAGCACCCAGCTGGGAACCTGAGCATGGATGCTTGTGCCTGTAACTCTGGCCTTGGAGTCGGGAGGTGTGGGTCCCAAGACTTCACTGGCGAGCTACTCACCTAAATAGTGAGATTTGGTTTACTGGGAGGCCCTGTCTCAATACAGTGAGGAGGAGAGCCATAACAGAAGATTCCCCGTGTAGTCCTCTGGCCTCTGAACAGGTGTACATGAGTGCATGCCTGCCCCAACCCTAACTGTGAGTAGCAGTGGAATCAGAGTCAAACTGGAGAGAAGTTAAAAATAAGCTAATGCAGTTTATTGTTTTTTTCAACATGTGAATGTCAAAAAAAGCTCCTAGGTCAGTGGTTCTCAACCTGTGGGTCATAAACCCTTTGGTGATCAATCAATCCTTTCATAGGGGGGTCACCTACGACCATTGGAAATCACATATATTTACATTACAATGCATGATAGTAGTAAAATTACAGTGATAAAGTAGCAACCAAAATAAATTTATGTTGGGGATCACCACAACATGAGAAACTAGAATAAAGGTTGAAAACCACTGCCCTAGGTGTTTGTTTTTAGAGCTTTTCTTGCCAATTTGCCTTTCAGAAAAAGCCAGAAAAATGTATTTAGTGAATGAGAATATGTGTGTATCTTGCATTATGCTGATCATATGAAATATTTTTATGCACTTCCCAAGTAGGCAGACCCTTTATTCCTGTACTAGAGACAGCACAGAGTAAAATCACAGAGAACTTTTTATACTCTCATATTGGGCAAAACGTTGGAAAAGAAATTGCAGGGTTAGAGGAAATATTCAATGGTAGAATGCTTTCTAGCATGCAGTGCCAGGTTTGGTTCTTAGCACCACAAAAACGAGCAAATGCAGGCAGAAGGTGGTGGTGAATATAAGATAAGGAGGGAGTAAGATGAAGTTAGGGAGTGTTGTGTTAGGCCACTTGCAACTTAAATGTCAGCGTCCTGCACAGGACTTCCCTAGGGAGCTCTTGTATAAATGGTGGAGAGTGGAAGACAGGTGTTCCCCCCCCCCCCCCCGCAACAGTCTGAGGACTAGTCTTGAGGAGTTAATGTTTCTACTTTGTGTGTTTCCTCTTATCTGTTGAAATGGGATGTTATCTCTAGTTTATCAATAGGAAATGGAATCTCTGAAAGCAAATGGCCCAGATAAATAGAACCACCGCATGGAAGCCACATCTGTCCCTAAAATGCTCCCTCCTTCAACATGGCGTCATGGCATGTCCAGTTGGGACTCAGTTGTTCTGGTGGAGTCACTAATCTTAGCAGATTTTATTTTCTGTCCCGGATTGTTACCTTGAGCTTCCTCTTTCTAGTTGTTAATTTAAAAGTTCTTAGAGGTGTGTCATGTGGCCACCCCCTGGGGTGTGTGTCTGTGTGTGTCTGTGTGAACTCTACTCCAGCAATCTAAGGCCATGTGAATTCCTGGCATTATGTGTTTCAGTGATAGGAAGCTAATTTGGCTGGCCTGTGGGTGTCGGTGTTCTGCAGCACGTTGTAAATGCTCATACTTAGAAAGGAATGTAAAGTGAAGGGCACAAATGCAAGGTCACTGCTATTGGATCTCACACAGAATAGCCTCGCCTTGCGTTTCCAAAGATTGCTTATCATTGTAAAAAGTCACACCCCGATGGACTGGCAGCATTCATTGCAAGCTGTTGAAAGGAGGCAGACCTTCAAGATGGCTCTAGGATCCCTGATGCCTAAAGACCCCTGCATCCTAAAGACCCCTGCATCCTAAAGACCCCTGCATCTTAAAGACTTTCGTACTTTGGATAATTTACTGTTTGAAGTGACATGTTGCTCATCAGTAGCTCTTAGTGATTTCTAAAACAGAATGCCATTCATCTTTGCAAAATGACTTTCTCTTAATTGAAGACATAAATTGTAATTTGAGAACTTCAGCTGTGAAATTTCTCCAGATTATTTTTTGAATCATAGTACACAAACAGAAAAAAATATAATTCATAGATCGACTTAGGGCTTAGGAGATGGTTCAGTTGATAAACTTCTTGCTCTTCAAGAACAAAGACTTGAGTATGAACCCAGAATCCATGCTAAAAATAGTCCATAAACTGATAAATTTCAGGTCAAAGGTTCCTTGGGAAGAAAGCACAGGTAGCTGGTGTCGGGACCAAAACTCAAATTCCCAGCATTGGAGGAAACCTTGCTCTCTGCCGCTTGTCTCTCCTGTTCCCTACCCAAGGGTCCCAAGCTCTGTCTTGAGTGTAGCAGCAGATTTTTCTTTTGTTGCTTTAGCACTTTTATATTATCTGTCCTCTACTTTTCCCATTGCTTGTGATTCTGACCCATATGGTAGAATGAGGTTGCATGCTGTTCAATCCCACGGCCGTTTCCTGCTTCACTGTGTCCATATTCCATAATATAAGGATGGTAGAAGGCTCCTGTGTTGACTTTTGCTAAACAAAAACCCCACTGTTCTTGGGTCTTAACTTGGAAATGGAGTTACTGGGTTGTGGGCTATGGGCATGTTTAGTTTACACAGATGCCCTCAAATAGGATCAGAGTATTAATGCACCAAACATTTCTACCAGCAAAGTGAGGGCTTACGGATTTTCCTGTTGATGCTTTTTTGGGGGGTTGGAGCTGAATAAGTTCATTTTGTTTCACGTTTGTTCTGTGAAAAGGAATTGTTGTAGATACTTGGAAAGCTGATTTTAGCCTTTGTCTTTGTATTCACTCTCCATTGATTTTTTTTTCTCCACATGATTGACTGTGTACATGTTACCTGCTTGGTATATGGAATATATTCCACATATATGTTGACAGCAAATGCAGGTGCATATTTCTTTTTACTACTTACAGTTATGCTGCAAAGCTTAGATACCATCTAGCTCAGATTTTCTGCAGTGTGATTCTCAGTGATGCCCTATGTTAGTATTGATGGGCAATCCATGAGTGTTTGAGGGAGGTCCCATCTGTCTGCTAACACACTATTAAGTCTCTTCAAACCTGAGGTGGTATCTGCTTCATTCTGACTTTCTCATAAGCATCATGCCATTTTACAGGCCAACAAAAATGTCAGACATGCCTGTAATAGAATTCAGACTGTTCAGCTCAAAGTTCATGGCTGCTTCTCCCCCCCCCCCCCATGGAGTGTCACTAGCTAGCCCAGGTTGGAATTCACTAGACCTAGTGTCATGAGCTCACAGCGATCTGCCTACCTCTGCTTCCCCAGTAATGGAGTTAAACCGTCAGGTCCCACCCCTGCTTCATGGCCCACTTTTTTTTTTTTTTTTTTTTTTTTTTTCGAGACAGGTTTCTCTGTATTGTCTTGGAGGCTGTCCTGGAACTCATTCTGTAGACCAGGCTGGCCTTGAACTCACAGAGATCCGCCTGCCTCTGCCTCCCGAGTGCTGGGATTAAAGGCGTGTGCCACCAACGCCCAGCTCATGGCCCACTTTTAAAGCTGTAATTTTCAACTTCGGCAGGACCAGGTTCTCTAAGTAGTTTGCAGAGGGTTTTCTTGGCTGAAACATCTGTGGACATTGGTGGGAAAACTTAGTGCAAAGCCCTTTGTTTGCTTTTCTTCTTTCAGATGTTTCCCAATTTTCCTGTCATATGCACACTTCGATTTTTGCTTAAAACCCTTCAGATTGGATTTAAACACTGCTTACAGAAGACTGAATATAACTCACCAGATTATTATGGATAAAATAAGAAATAGGGCAATTAAAAAAATCAATGGCTGTGGGAAAATTCTTGTGTTATATTCTCTAAGATTTCTGAATGTCCAAGGTGATTTTAATACTGATGGACCTTTATAATGAAAATGAATTTTAGTTGTAGTTAATAATTTAAGGTCCATGGATATTATTTAATCGATATGTTCTCTTTCTTTGCAGGCAAGAAGAGACCGACAGGAGACTGAAAAACGTAAGCTGTATTTAATGGAGTGTTATAAATAGATTTTCCTTTATGTTCTGTAAAATCATAATGGATCTAAGAATATACTCTGTGTCATCTTTTCTAATTAAAATTTACCTAGAAACCAGTTAGTGTAAGTGTATGTATATATAACTCATCATTAGACTTTGTGTAAATCTGACTTTACCACATGAAGAGATTAGGTTTCAGGGCCTGGTTGTTATGTTTCTAATTTGTAAATATCAAACTCAATTTAAAAGTTTTAGGGGAACAAGCAGGAAATTATCAAATTAAATGGTAAGTGATGCCATTATTGCTTAAGAACTCTAGGTAATTCCTCAGTGTAGGCTGATAGCATGTACTTAATATGGTACAAGCATACAGGAGTATCTAAAAGTAACAGCTCTTAGATTTAAAATATTTAAAATTTAACAATTAAAAAATTTTAAAAATATACTCATCAAGCAAGCTGAGAATTACTGACTTTAGGTGTTTATTAGGTAGTTTTGTTGGAAAAACATTGGCATAAAGCTTTTTTCACGTGTGGACCAGGGAGGCACCTCAGTTGGGTAGATGAGCTTGCTGTGCAAGCTTGGTGGCCTGAGTTAGATCCCTGGAAGCCACACTCTTAGGGTGGTGAGATGGGGGTCAGACAGGAGAATCACCCAGAAACTCATGGCCTGGCATACCTAGTGGAATGTCAAGAAACTAGAGAAGACCCTGCCTCAAAACAAATGTAGAAAGTGAGAATCAGCTTCTGGAAGGCGTCCTATTTTGTCTACACCTGTGAAGCCTATCTTTCTCTCTCTCTCTCTCTCCCTCCCCCTCCTTCCCTCCCGCACCAATCCACTGACCTTGTTCTTGTCATTTAGGTTTTGATAACTTTATACTGGCTGGGAAGAAGAGCACAAACTAACCCCTACTATAATGGTCCCTACCTCAATCTGAAAGCCTTTGAGACTCTGTTGGGACAAGCTTTGACTAAGGTAAGGAACAAGGACCTTCTGTGTGAGATGACTACTGTGAGATGCTCCTACTTCATCATGTGCGCTTCCCTCCCACCTCCATGGAGGTTGTCTGGGCTCCTTCCTAGACAGGGACAAGTCAGCAGGTTGGCTGCTCGTTTTCTGGCATAATATGCGTCTTTCAGGGAGTAAGTTATCTGTTCCAGAGCAGTATAGAATTTTATGTCTTTAATTTTAGGTAATTTGATGACACATGCACATGGCTTTTTATACACTATATAACTTAACTATTCCTATACTCATTATGAGCTCAATCTGCAGTAAAAGGCATTTTTAGGGCTATTAGCATTTATAGGAGTTACCCAGTTTCCTTATATTAATCTGTGCTTGTCATGGGTAGTTGTCTAGGGACCACATTCCAATGTCACCACACTGCTGGTGTTCATTGAGGAGTAATACATAGTAAGTGAAACTTCATAAAGGTTTTCCTAAGTCATATAAGTTATCCCCAACTTGCTATGTAGCTAAGGTGACTTTGAACTCCTGATCTTCCTTCCTCTACCTCCCTACTGCTGAGATTGAAGGCAAGAGTTACGATTGACTCCTAAGGAGATTTTGAAGTTAGAATCCTTGTTTTTGTCATTTTTAGTTTTTTATTTGTAATCTGTCTGTGTATCTGTGTGTCTGTGTGTCTGTCTGTGTGTCTGTCTGTCTCTCTCTCTCTCTCACTACACACACACACACACACACACACACACACACACACACGGGAATACACATGAGAATGCTGGTGACTTTGGTGGCCAGGAGAGAGCATCAGGTGCCCTGGAGTTAGGGTTACAGGAGATGTGAGCTGCCTGATGTGGGCGCTGGGACCTAGAGCAGCAAGTACCCTGAACTGCTAAGCCCAGAGTCCTTGTTTTTTCTGTACATTCCTGCTCTTCCATATTCTGGGGCCATTGCAACAGGCTTTTGAAGCTTGTGGGCTATTTGAGAAGGACCAAGTGCTGAGTCCAAACAGTGATTTTGTTTTGCCAAAAAAAACCCCAAAGACAAAAACAAACAAAAAAACCCACCTTCATTTATAGGACCCTAGTTGAAAAACTAATTTCTCTGTTTTCCTAATTCATCCAGGGCATTTATAAGAATTGAAAGAAAATAAATGCTCAAAATGATAAAACTCCATCTATATAGCAGTACTTGCTTTGTGACACTTTTCTGATGATTAAACAAGAAAGATGTTTAGTGTTTCTGACACATTATGAGTATGAAATAAATGTTATGATTAGAGCAGATGAATATTTGGACTTGATAAAAATAATTGCCTTTGCCTATATCTACTCATGTCTTTGAAAATACTTTGGCTGCATCTGGCCGTGTATATACTATAAAGAGATGAGATCACACTTTTTCCCTTTGATTGTAAGGAACTGATGACTTTAGGTCTGGGGAGATAGCTTGGTTGGGAAAATGCTCGTTGTGCAAGCATGAGGACATGATGTGACCCCTGGACCCATGCAGTAAAGCAGAGTATGGTGATACACGCATGCAGTCCCAGCATAGAGGAGGCAAGGACTGGAGGATTTGGGGCCTCACCGGCATTATAGCCTGCTGGGAAAACTACAGACTAATAAGACACCCTGTCTTGGTCTCAGGAAACACGAAACAACAAAAGAAATACAAGATGGTTGTCTCTTGAAAAAAAAAAAAAACAGACACTGGAGATTGACCTTTGACCTCTACACACATGTGCCTGCATGAGCATAAATACTCACAGTGTGTGCATCCACACATGTGCAGTGTATGTGTACAGGAACACTCAGAAGAGAGTTAGGAGTTCTGTCCTCACATGCTTTGGATGAATTGATTGAGATAGCAGTTGAGATACTGCCACACATTTGTTGGAGAATGACTGACTCATCCACCAGCAAGCATAGTTGCCTGAGAATGTATGGCAGTTCGGTCCCTGCCATGGAAAGGGGGTGAGGCTCAAGTGAGAGAATGGCAGGGAGTTGTGGGTGCAAGGGAAACCTGGGTTCACATCTGTTTGAACTAAGGAACTATGCAGTTAGGAGTGACAGGATATGGGCTGGTGGACTAGTGCTCTTTATAGCTGTTCCTGGTTTTTATGGCAGTGACTCAGGATGAGTAATCTCAGGGCAGAGTCTGTGCTCAGAATGCCTTTTTAAAGACTGTTCAAAGTCATTGATGTCAATGTCAGGATGGTCAGGAGACTCTTTTTAATGGGTAAGCCTGTGGTTGAGTCCTACTCTTCCATTAGCTGGTGGGAAGAGACACACGAGGCACCTGAACGTATCATTTGTTTTGTGTCGGTTCACTTAAAATGAAAGGTGTCGTGTCAATCGTACTTTCCTAGTCACATGGCAGTGAGGATGCCAATTGGAAATAGCAACGAAACCGTATTCAGCGGAAGCTGCTGCATTTGAGTCAGGTTATAAGTTGGGAATGACTGACTTTGGGGGACTTGTCAGAGTGAAGTCCTCAAAAACCAGGCTGCAGGGCCAGACTTGGGTTATTTATAACAGGTCACATGGCTCATTATCAGTCATGTTAACATTGATAATGTCAGAAGTCATATTGTGCTAACTCTGAGGTTTCAAAAAGTCAGTTCACAAAACCTGGTGGAGCTAAAGATTTTCTTTACAATGTTACTCTTATTTTGAGAGTAGACTACTGGCACTGAGCTTGACTTCCCCATGTGCTTGGAAGTGTCAGGTGAAGGTAGATACTGGCATTTTTCATGCCAGAATGTCAACTTTAATGCTGGCGTGGAATCTCTGTACTAGCCGTTCTTGGCATTTCAAACACTTGTCAGACAACTGACTCACGAATTGATGGTCTGACTTGGCAGAAGTCTGCTTGAAACAGCTGCTAATTACTTGTCATGATCACTTGCCAGCCCTTCTCCATACGTTGAAAGTATTCACGATAAAATGCTAAGACAACAACACTTGGAAACCTCACATCATTACTACCTGATACAGTGTTGTTTGCATTTTGGCTTTATTTAGTAGTGTCTGCTATCTATATGTGTCTTCCCTTAACCATTTGAAGACAAATTCAGATACCATACTTCATTCCTGGATTCTCAGATTCCATCTCTGAAGAGTAAGGATATTTTTATCCCTAGTGCATGAATGGGCTTTTGGAGCCCGATCCCTACAGAGGGTTATTCTCTCAGCCTAGGAGTGTGGGGAGGGCCTCAGTCCTGCCCCAATGATGTGACAGACTTTGATGATTCCCATGGGGGGGCTTCACTCTCTCTGAGGAGTGGATGGGGGGTGGGATGTGGAGAAGGGGGGAATGGGAGGACTGGAGGGAGAGTTAACTGGTATTGGTATGTAAAATAAGATTGTTCTTAATTTAAATAAACACATTAATGAAAAAGAGTAAGGCTATTTTCCTGTATAGCTATAATATACACTTAGGAAATCTCATCAACATTCATCATCATTTATTATTGAATCTGTTTCCTGTGGTCTCCCAACTTTTTAATAGTTTTTCCAACTGTTTTTTTATAGTTTTAAAAAATTAAATCAAGATTTAATTCAAGCTTGCGTGTTATATTTTGTTATTAATTCTTATGTTCTTTAACTTGTCACCTGAGGTTAACTTTGTTGATTTTCATTTATGTCCTATAATTTTTAAGAGGTCAGTTAAGTTTTGGCATTAAATTTCAGAGGCGTGTTAATTAAATTGGCTTATTTTGGGAAAGTTCTACATAAGGTATATACCGAGATATAATGTCTTTTGCTGTATTTCCATGTATCTCTTAATCATATAAGAGCCAAAAAAACCTATTTTATTGCCGTGTAAGGAAGGAAAGTTTTAGAGTCAGCAAGCTTGTGTGCTACCCTTAACTCAATAAGAAAGCAGCCTGGCTGCCAGCATCCCAATCTAAGTTCCAGAATCATGAACAGAAACAAATTCCGCGATGTGCACACTCCACCGCTCTTTAAAACAATAGAATCTCTTTTTGAGATCTCATAGGGTATCAGAAGTCATTCTGGTCTTGTGTTTAGCATAAACTACCTCAGATAGTCCATGGGGAGAGAATGAGACATCTTAAATATGTGCCTCCCTTTTGGGTGTCTCCCTTAGGATTTTTTTCTCTTTGATTCCTTTCATCTTTTCTCCCAGACAAAAAGATAAACCACTGACCAGCATTTCAAGACAGTTTTTTATTAATATTTTCATCTTTAATATTGATTATATAACTTTATGAAATAATTTCAGGTATTCTTATATGTAATTTTGGATACCCGCCTATCATCCAGTTTGTGAAGAAAAAAACTGCTTTTAACGTTTATTTTTCATTTGTTGAACAGGGAAAACTTGTCAACCCGACTGCCTAATTAATCAGAGCTTTTATGCTCCTGAAAGTTCATGTTCACTCACTGATCTTTGTACAATGTTTCCTTCAGGCACTTGAAGATTCTAGCTGCCTGAAAAGAAGTGGCTGGGACAGTGGCTACGGTGATATCTGGTGTGCTGACCGAGGAGAGTTTCTTGCCCCTCCAGGTAGCCATAGGAGGGAAGATTCCTTTGAAAGCTTGGACTCTTTGGGGTCTAGATCCCTGACCAGCTGCTCCTCAGATCTCACGCTTAGAGGTGGGAAGGAAGGTGAGTCGTGACTTGGGATACAGGTTTATGTTCATGTATGAAGAGGGCATGAAATGGGGGAGGAAAGTAGGGATGAAGAAAGACAGTTCAAAGACTTCATCAAGCTGTAGATTTTAATAATTCCATGCACAATTAGGTGGGTTTTTAAATTTTGTTTTACTTTTCCCCCAGTCACACTTCTTAGTAATGCCAGTTTACTTTTGATTATTTTTTTTTCTTTTTTACGACTGTATTTGAAAAGGACTTGTGAGGATATGGCTCACTGGGCTCACTGTGACTGGATTTTGTCGGTCAGAAACTCTTCAGTTTAGAGGCTTAGCAATAGGTATCTAATAACGACCGTGCGTAAGAGTCTGTAAATCCCCTTTGCTACCTCCCAAGTATTTTCTTTCCTATCTTAATTTTACCAGAAAGTCTTAAGAAATATGAAAGAGGAAAAGTTTTAACAGTTCTCTTTAAACTTTGATTGAGTAGGTAACGTGGAGGTAGGAAGCATCTTCTAGGAGTTATCTGTGGTGGTACAGAACAGAACACGCATGGGAGAATGAGCTAATGCAATTCCTGTTGTGGGAAGGACCTACCATTCAAACTTGAATGGCTGAGGTCAAATCCTTCATTGCCATGTGTGTCTTTGAGGCTTGCAAAATGGTTCTGTGGCGAGAGGTGCTTGCTGCTAAGCCAGGTTCCATCCCCGGGACCCACAGAGTGTAAAGAGAGACAGAATCAACTCCTGTATGTCACCTATAGACTTCTACATGTGTGTTATGGCAAGAATGAACACAACATACCTTCACACAAAATCAGTAAGGATAAGTAAATAATAAAAAAAGAATTACATATATATTCCTATGGCTCCTAGGTGGTACTAATAGTTTGAGACTAAATATTTAGGTAGTCTGGGTTTAGTCTAGCTAAGTAGAAACCACAGAAAACATTTCAAATGCTGGGGCTATAGGTCAGTGACAGAGCTTGTGGCCAACATCCATGAGATGCTCAAGTTTAAAACCCAGAACTTCCAAGACCAGTTTATTTATTTATTTATTTATTTATTTATTTATTTATTGTTTTCCTTTTAAAAGTATTTCTGTGCTTTAAGCATCATCGTTATCAGGAAAAAAAATGGGAGCTCTGACTGTGAACTTGTCTCCATCTTTGAGGGTCTTTGGTTTGTTTAATGTGTACATAAATACTTTACCCAAGACTTTTATCATGCAAAATCTCAAGCATCACAAATAATAAGTTTGTTTTCTAAAAGTCAGTGAAGCATGATCACAACACTAAATACCTTTTAGAGCAGTGACAGTGCAAATATGTGAACGGCTTTAGTATTAACCTTTGTAACTGCCACTGTTTTTGTTGGCTCTTCCCCACCGAGGTATGACTTTTCCAGAGTGCAGATGAAAATGATCATATCTGTAAGGAAAGAAATCTAAGTTTGTAATTCAGCCGAATAATTAAAGTTGTAAACTGAGACTGAAAAATCTCAACCCACTATGTCCTTTTAACTGACCGAGAGGAGCCTATGGCATGCAATGTTTGAACTTATATCTGATATCTGCCTGTCAAAGAATAACGGGGGGGATTGTGGCTTTGTGGGCTGTGTGGAGTTCTCAGTGGTGCAAGATCTGAGTCTCCTTTGATATGTTGGCCCATGCCTGGTGTGTCCCCCCTCCCCTGTCACATTGCAAGGGACCTTTTTTTTTAAAGGCTGTAGAGGTCTGGGCAATTATGGGCAATTACAAGTAGGGTAATGGGAGGGAGGCAGGTTCCAGGAGAAGGAAACTTTTCTGTGACTGCTCTATTAAAATTCTGCTGCCTACACAATTATAGTAGGTGGTAACCATAATTAAGATAATTTTTTTAGGATTCGAAAATTGTGCATTTCATGAGTTTTGTATGAAAACATATCAGGAGTGATATTTGTACCAATAAGAACTATTACCTAAAAAAAACAAGATTTTTAAGTTTAAAATGTCGAAGGCCAAATAGTCTGTGATTTTCTAATTTCACCAGTAGGTTTTGGTAAGAAAATGGTCTCCAGACTCTGGAGATTCCCCCATGGAGGGCCTCACCCTCCCTGGGGAACTGCATGGGGATTGGGTGGGGGGTTGGGGGGGAACTGGTGGGGGGTGGGGGAGGAGGGGAGGGAGAGGGAGCTAGGATTGACATGTGAAGCAAGTTTGCTTCTAATTTAAATAAAAAAGAAAAGGGTCTTTCTTTCTCTTTTTTAGTAAGTTGTAAAAACAAGGCAAAAGAAAACAAAAGTAGCTTAATTGCTTCTGGTATCCTGGCCATGGCTACCAAGTCATCTTCCCTTTCTTCCCAGACTGCCCTTTCATCCTGTTCTTGTGACACAGATGTATCAGACCACTTCCTTTGAACCATATTGGCATTGTTTACTGTACATTCCTACCTGGCAGGTGACAGAGGCAAGCTGCCTTTAGGTCACATTAGCCCGGAAGGTGTGAGGAAAGCCAGTGGCTATGGGCAGACTTGGAGTTAGTTGCCTTCTGCTGAGCAATACTCACCAACTCCTTGCATTTCAGAAAGGCATTGGAGGCAGGGAACAGCGAAGTCAGGAACGGTTACTCCTTCTCGATGTATATGGTTATTCTAGTCCCGTGTCTTAAAACATCTGCATATATTGGTTTTTCCAGCTAGAGAATATATTATTATTTGTGTCTGTCGGTCACTGGGATCTATCAGAAATACTTTGTGTGTGTGTGTGTGTGTGTGGTTAAGTTTGCATTTAAGTAAATTTTAAATCAGAATTCCTGATTTCCATTATAATCCCTTTGCTTACCAGAGGGGGCGGGGAACCCTTTTTAGTTCTGTGCTCTCGTATGGGCATAAGCTTTAATTTGTTAGGACTTCAGATGTCATTCAGTCTGTCTTTTGTGGTGTAGGATCCTTGTCCATACAAGTGACCTTCGGGGGGTCTATCTGTCACTATTGAGTCTTGTGCAGTCTTCCTTCAGTTTCTACGATTGCTTGTCGCTTTCTGTAACTCCTGAAGGCTTCCTGCCTTAGAGTTATGCTATCTCACGCGTCAGCTAGATTTTACCACGTGTTATACCTTAGCAAAGTTATGAAGCAATCTAGTGGCAAAGAAGGTTGGGAAGAGAAGGGGACTAAGCAGGGGATTGGGGACTTATCTGCTTATCATGTACCACAGCAGAAGAATGAACTGTGTGACCTCCAGTATGGAAAGCAAGTCCCTCCTGGTGGGTCTTATCACAACTTCTTGACAAAGTTCTAAAAATATTCATGCCTTTTAGCAGCCGTGCTAGGTTTCCAAGGGAGAAGAGGCTATGCTGGGGAAGGGAGGGGAGGGGGTTCAGCAGGAATATGCTGGCGAGTAAAGCAAGTTCTTGTGCCTTTATAGGTTTTGAAAGCGACACAGATTGGGAATTTACATTCAAAATGCAGGAGTATAACAAGGATGATATGTCCTATCGAAGGATTTCAGCTATTGAACCAAAGTCTGCTCTACCATTCAATCGCTTCTTGCCTAACAAAAGCAAACAGCCGTCCTATGTGCCAGCACCTCTGAGGAAGAAAAGGCCTGAAAAAAACGAGGATAACAGAAGAAGCTGGGCGAGCCCAGTCTACACAGAAACAGATGGAACATTCTCAAGGTAATGTCATGAGATACGGCTATGGAGTTCAATATGCTTTCTGAATTTACGGGGCTATTTTAAATGGTTAAGGGAACGGCTCCTCAAGTATAGTTAACACATATCACTAGTGGGGATTTCTTTTCCTACCTCTATTTTCAGTCAGAAGACAGGTGTTCTGTTTCAGAACTTCATCTGATGACTAGGCCTTCTTTTAGATAGATGCATGCCTTCAGTGTATTGGTGTGTTTCAGCGTACCGGATCACCGATGTGCTCCATTGTGAGCCCTGATGCAGTGTTTCCTTCCATTATTTTTCTTTCATTTCCTTTTGTGGATAGTGGTGGACGTGAAAAGATACCCTTTATTTCCCATCAAATTAGCAGAGCAGAGGGTGAGTTTTCAAATCCCTCTTTTCTCATGCTGTGTGGTCCTGAAAGACATTCCGACCCTGTTGACGAGTGAAGGTTTGCCGGATGTGCTTTCTGGATGACTTAACCAACTGTAGATCCCATGTGGAAAGGAGACCTGAGTGTTTCAGCCCTCATACTACTGCTTTCAACTCTTGTCTTCAAGCATTTTCTCCTGATACGTTAGCCTCTAGAATGCACACGTTGACAAGGTCAGAAATACATTTGTCCCAGGGTCTGGGATCTAGCATGATACTGACTGAACTGAGAAAGGAACACTCAGTCTGTTTGGAATTTGTCTTTCCCTTAACACAGTCTTACGTATCTAGCTTTTCTCCAACTACAAAGTGAGGTGCTGACGTAATAATCTCGATTTGGTCCTAGGAGCTATGGTGTTGAGACTGGGAGCTAATTTGCTTCCTTCACAGGGGTTCAAACATTGTGAGGTGGGATGCATGCCCTTTGGGTTCTGTGCCACCAACTGCTCACACGGTATCCTAACGTGGTTGGATATTTTGAACAGTAACCAGAGAAGGATTTGGGGTCCCAAGATGGAGCGCTGGCACACAGTCCAAGAAACTTCCACCTCCTCTTGTTATTTGGAAGAGGAGGAAGAAAAGATAACGCGCATACCCCACCTGGTGAAGGATGATCTCTATGTGCGAAAGTTGAGTCCAGTCATGCCAAGCCCAGGGGGTTCTTTTGACCAGTTTCTTCCCAAATGCTGGACTGTAGAAGATATGAACTGGAAAAAAACAAAGAGAGAGACTTATAAGCCATGGTATAAGGAATTTCAGGGATTCAGGTTTGTCCATGTGCATGCTCTCGGTCTCCAGTGTGTGTTCTCTGCCCCGGTCTGCTATAGTCTGTGTCTTGTTTTTTTTTCCAGCTAGGGATTGAAAAAGGTTTATTTATCCTCTAACATCTGTAGAACTTCAATAATTAAAACAAACTTGTTTAAATTTAACATGGGGTAAATACCTAGCACTCTAGAGGCTGAGGCAGGAGGATTAAAAGCTCCAAAGAAAGAAGCCTAGGCTTCAAAATAAGACCCTGTCTCTGAAAGCAAAAAAAAAAAAAAAAAAAAAAAGCAAAAAAAAAGGGGGTCATTTTTAATCTTTTCCTAATAAGCTGCCTGTGAACTGTATTTTTATTATTGAAATACGACAGCGATGACTGCAGCAGAATAAAAAAATCCTTCAGGTTCTAGACATTAAGAAGACCCCTTTTATATCTAACTTGGCATGGATTTCAGAACTCATATTGGTCTCCATTTCTCTGTCCACTTCTCTTTTTTCCCCCTTTTCTCCACATCACGGCGTGGCAGAAGGAATTCTGACTCTGAGGATGAGGACTTGGGCTCTCTCAGAAGCGCCACCATTTTTAGTAGACTAGGAAAGGCAGATCATAGGTTAGCCAGCAGCTACCAAAGACCTTCACTCTTGCTGGACCTAGCCGCCAAGCATGCCATGAGGTCACGGGACACCCACGCAGCCAGGAGGACCAGCGGTGCTTTGGAGGAATCCAGGTGCACCTGCCTGTATGAGCTACCTGCTTGTGACTGACCTTAGACATCTTGTTTGGCTGCTGATGCTGCTACATTAACCCGGGCCCTGAATACTGACTCAAGGAAACTTAACGGCACAGGATAAAGCCACAGTGTGTAATATACTGCCATCTGCATGAGAGTGTTGGCACGAAGTCTTATAGGAATCAACATGCTATTAATACAATAATGTGCAAGGCGGTTAATATTTATATGCACAGAGTCTTTTGAAAATCCATCCCCAAAATGCTTTTTAAAATATGACTTAAGTTTACTGTTGTGAGTGGAGAAAGGAAACCCTTTTAGACAGATACAAGGAAGGGCAAGTCCAGAGAATCCAAACCAAACCTCAGGAGCTCTTATAAGATTCTAGAGCACTTCGTTATTTCTACTTACCATGAAGTGCATTATAGTGCAAGGTGTATGATAGCCAACTCGGCACTAAGATCATGCAGCCTTCTCCAGGGAGGCGATGAGGCCGCGATGGAGAATAGAATTAGGAAGTCGGTACAAGGAATGGTGCCCATGCCCGTGCCAGGGAGGTACACTTGATGGGAATTGTAGCTCCACCCCGTGTATCCGAGAGTGTTCACAGTTCCCGGGGAGTATAACCTGCTATTGTTTCTTTAGATGGCACCCAGGAAGTCACAGAGATAGCACTGAGTATTTGTCTTGTCCCTCCTGTGGCTCCTAATAATTTGCCCCTGATAAGTGCCTGCTGCCTAACTACCGTTCTCCTCGTTCTTAATACGATTCTCCCTTCCTTTTTCTTTTCTGGGCTTCAGTCAGTTTTTATTGCTTCAGGCCCTCCAGACATACTCTGATGATATCTTGTCTTCGGAAACAAATGTCAAAATCGATCCCACCTCTGGCCCAAGGCTCATAACTCGCAGAAAAAATCTCTCTCACACACCAGGGTATAGAGCAGATGACCTTGAGCTGCCAGCCCTGGATCCTGACTTAGAAAATGACGATTTCTTTGTCAGAAAAACTGGGGCTTTCCACGCAAATCCGTGTGTTCTTCGAGCCTTCGAAGACTTTCCAAGGTTCTCCGAGCCAGACGACGCTGTTGAACGAGATATAATTTTGCAGTGTCGGGAAGGTGAACTTGTGCTTCCAGATTTAGAAAAGGATGACATGATTGTTCGTCGGATCCCAGCACAGAAGAAAGAAGTGCCCTTGTCTGGGGCCCCCGATAGATACCAGCCGGTCCCTTTCCCTGAACCCTGGACCCTACCCCCAGAAATCCAAGCGAAATTTCTCTGTGCGCTGGAAAGGACACGCCCACCCCAAGAGAAAAGCAGTAGCTGTAGAGTCTTAGTTCCCGCCTATCGACAGAAGAGAGATGACATGTTGACTCGCAAGATCCAGTCTTGGCAGCTGGGGACTGCGGTGCCTCCGGTCGGCTTCAAGCCTGGCCCCTGCAGCGAGGCTGACCTGCAGAAATGGGAGGCCATCCGGGAGGCCAGCAGACTTAGGCACAGGAAGCGGCTGATGGTTGAGAGGTCAGAGTGTGTTTCTGCAAGGATTTGGCTTGTGATGGTCTTGTGTAAATTTCCTTATGAAAAAAAAAGCCTCATCCATTTACTCAGCTCTGCATGCTGTGTGCCGTTTTGAAGCATCCTGTAAAACATTATTTGGCTTTGAGGAACTTTTAGTCATTTCATGGAAGAAGTGCAGTTCCATGTTTACACGTCTTACGATGATTTGAGAAGGTATATACAGAGCTTGCCTCTGGCTTGGAAGTTGCCATCTCTATAGTCCAATGTGAAATTGGATAGAAATGTTTTCTAATTGTGTCTGTAGGTTTTTCTCCTCGTGTCCAGCATTTCTGTAGCGGTCTAGTTGTGGTTTGGTTTTATGTGTTTATCACATTTTGCGGTGTCTTTTATTGAGCTAAGTATTTTCCTAAAATATGTCATTGCAGATTTTATTTAACTTGATTTTTGTTGTTGATCTAGATTTCTTGGACTATCAATTTCTGCATTTTTATTTATAATGTTCAGTGCAAGCACCATTAAAATGCATGAGTCTGTCAAACTATGTAGTTGTGACCGTTTTGGTGACATGAGCCATGCAACTTTCTGATAGCCGTTCCGTTCACTGTAAGTTGGGGATGGACAAATTTGAAGAGGCTAAATACAATGAGTGACTCCAAATCTACCTTTGTTCCTGGCAAGGAAAGGGCTTGTCTTACGAATTTGTTGACTCAGAATAAATTATGAAAATGCTTTTATTATTTTACCTGCATTCTTGGAGACTAAATCCTGAGATATAAAGAATTGACTAAGGACCAGCTTGTTCAGATTCGCCCATTCCCAGTTATACTCAAGTTAAAGATGTTGAATGCTTAGAAACTAACACAGCTGGAGAGAGTGACCTTTTTTAATCTTTGGTCTTTTGATTTCTTAGACTCTTTCAAAAGATTTATGGTGAGAATGGGTAAGTTTTATAGTTCACATTAAAAATAAATCTGCATATTTGTTTGTCTCTTCTGTAACTTACTGCACCTATGTCCTGGCATGTTACTAAATGGGTGCTATGTGCACTGCATGAGATTTTTATTTACTTTTCTATTAACATTTTGCAACATTGCAGCCTCATTGCAATATTTTTATATTTCAATGCCCAATGCAATGCATGAACCGTTTTTATTTTATTAAATTTTGACTCCATCCCTCTTTCTTTTTTCTTTTCATTTAATGATTGAAAGTAACAAGAGCCTAAAAGTACGCCCATTTTGGTATTTGACTCCTAAAACACACTAGGCTTCTGGTTTCTAGTTGTTGAAGATCTCCCCCACAAACTGCGGTTTAGGAAGTCTGTGATAGGAAAGTCATACCTGCTCACTTAATGCCGGAACTCATGTAACTTACAAACTTCACGTACTTAGCTGTCGAGGAGCTTTGTTAGTGGGGATGGCCTATAGTTTGGGGAACTATTAAGATTCTCAATTAGGGTAGAAAGATAGTGGTAACACAGCTGCCTACAAAGAGCAAACTAGACTTCCAAATTATAAAAAGTAATCTTGTAGTTTCCATTGTTTTTACAAGAGCTATATTTAAATTAATTCTCAGGTTTTGTCTGTTAGTATTTAATATTCATTGGGTAAACAGAACTGTCACATAAAACTGACTTTCTCAAATTTTTCTAGTTCTAGATGATTTTAAATTAAGTCATTCATTCTTAATGCAGCACTAGCAGGTTTTCTGTAACAGTGAAATGTATTGGTAATACAGTTTTGGAGGAGGAGGAGGAAGACAGTTGAAGGATACCCATTTTTTTGAGTATCTTCCCTTTATCATGGTTTATCAATTCTCTCAGAACCTCTAATTTTAATAGTTTTTAATTAGTTCAGAAGTTTAGAAGTATTAGAAGCTACCGATTATGACAAAATTCATTATAACACCTCTAGATATGAAAGATGTGGCTAAGGAATGGTCAATCATTACAGTTACTCCGCCCAGTGTGGCCTGTGAGGGCACATTGCCCCTTCCTCACGTGTGTCCACAGCCTTGTGGGTCTCATCTGCAAGGGTGAAGAAGCCAGTCTTTGGCATAACACTTCAGTATCTGTTCATCAATTTGTCATAGGAAAACTGTTTCAACTTAATTAAAAATCTTTTTGAGGCTTCAAGCAATCTGATAAACTTTCTTGAGGAATTTTCATTCGTAGTCACATTTGACTTTGAAGTATAAGCACATACAAGTACCAAGAGTCTAAGTTCTTGGGGCATGTAAACACATAACTTCCAGTCTGACTTGAACCCTACCCGTTTTCCTTAGTGTAGGGTTGTTATATGAGTTGAATTACCCTTCCCAAGAGTGTGGGCTTAATAGTTGAATTCATGCCTAGTTTGCCTGTGGCTCTAAGCTCATTCCCCAATACTCTGGACCCACCCTAACCACAAACACCAATAAAAAAACTCAAATTTTCAACTCCAGATGCTGTGGAATTTTTCTGATCTATAACAGTCAGCAGCAAATGCTACCACTAGACAATTCCAAGTAGTAGTTTGGTTATTTGGATAACATAGTGTTTGCTTTAAAAGGCTATTTTAAAAATCCAAATGCACACTAGTGCTAAGGTAACTACACAAATAAAGCAAGATAATTGAGACTAATGAATAATACAGACTTGTCAGATAATGGGATTTAATATGTCTTAGAAAACGCAGTTGTGATTAGGAGCAATTGTAGGTTTATTTTGACCCCTTTTCTCCTACATTTTATAGTTACCAGTGATTTCCTTCCATTGATTTTACAATGAGATTAAAATATACATTGAAATTGAATTACTTATAGTTTAATGTACAACTCATTTCACATTTATGCTGAGTGAACTTTCTCCTAAAATAATATAGTAGAAAAGCAGTACTGTTTGATACCTTGTGATGAAAAACTAACTGCCCATCAGGTGAATGCTGTCTTTGTGGGAAAGACCAACCTGAAGAGATATGTGTAGTATTTTATCTTGATTCTTTACCTGCTAAGTCCCATCTTGCATTTTTATGTGTTTTTGGAGCTTGTGCATGCTATATAAGCGTTTTACTAAAGCTTTAGTTGGCATGTAGCACATTATGTCTACTAAGATGCTATCTGTGTGGCTGCCAATTCTCATGTGTCTTTGTGTTGCATGAATTGCCATTTGTGTGGTTCTGTGAAGTTTGGGATCTGGTCATGTCTTGGTATAATCTTGGCACTGACAAAATTTGCAGGAATATGTGTAAACAACCTGGTAATGTAATAACCACTGGGTCTACTATCAGTATCACAAGGAGATAAATACCAATTACATGTGAATTGGCAGTCAAAGACAATGAAGACAGCTCTATTTTTCTCATAGAACTTGACCAAATGATTTTGTAGGAGTACCAGGACATGTCATCAAGGCAGGCAGAGAGGGAGGGGAGACAAGTTGCTCTGCAGACTTCCTTTTCCACTCCAGGTGGCATCTAGTTCTATCTATAATACTTTTCATATTATAGCCAAGTGTGTGTACTGTCTACATTTAGTGCTCTGTGTATGTCCTAAAGTACCCCAAATAGCCCAGGATAACCCTCTACAGCAAATGATTTTCTGACTGAAGTGTTACTAGTGTTGGTGTTGAGAAACCCAAATAAGCAGATAAATCTATAAATGAAAATTCCTTCTTATGTTCTCTTCTACTTGATGGTAATTTCAAAATGTCTCACACAGGTTTTAACACTGGTTATTGTTCACAAAATCCTACAGTTAGATAAATTAGCATATTTATATTGTTTTCAAAGGCAGAGATCCTTAACTTATTGCTTTTAAATTTCTATTTGCCACTCAAGGCTGTGAGTAAATTTATATTTAGGAAAAAGTGCCTTATATTGACTCCTTGAACTCTTCCTTATAGGTCAGTGGTTCTGAACTGTGGATTTTGACTCCTTTGGGATGGAATGTCATTTTCTTTTTTTTTTTTTTCGTTTTTTTACGAGACAAGGTTTCTCTGTGTCACAGTGGTCACCTAAGACCTTTGGGAAATACAGATATTATTTACAGTTCAAAACAGTAGCAACATTACAGTTATGAAGTAGCAACGAAAATAATTTTGCAACAACAACAAAAAAGAAAATTTTACAAAACATGAGGAACTGTATTAAAGGGTTGCAGTGTTAGGAAAGTCCACTACCATAGACATCTATAAGTTTCCTGAAGCTGGACTTTAGGATAACACTCCTTAATTCCAGCTGAAGGTATCAGGAGCACCATAGGCAATCAGAGGAGTACACGGAAATTATACCTAGTGATTTATAAGCGATGCCTTCACAAACTTCTTCCTGTTCTTCCCCCAATCCTATTAAATCAATTGGAAAGGCAAGATGCTTGTTACACCTGCATTTTCAGGGTGTAAGTACAATGCAGTTGTAAACTAGAGCTTCAAAATAAGGAACTAGAACCAACGGTGGCAGGCAGCTCTAAAAGGATGGACGGCGTGACTCACCTGTGAATTGTCCATGCTGGGCATGCCCTCACAGTTGCCTGGATGCTTTCTTAGGTGCTTATCTCCGCTCTGTGCGGCAGACAGGCCTGTGTTATCTGCATTCCGTAGACAGAGATTGCAGCTTTCCCAAGGGTGGAGGCTCTCAAGCAGTAGAACCGGACTGGAGCGCTCAGCCGGCCTCATGAGGCAACTCACGGGGACAGCTTGGCAGTGCTGTTGCCACTCAAGGAACTCCTGGGACTTTAATGTCTTATGGTTAATGCTGATAAAGAAAGCAAGACTTCATCATCTTTGTGCTCTAGACAGTCTAGATTTTATCTATGTAGTTTGGGGCGACCTTTCGAACTTGAAAGCAGTTTATAGAGTTAGTATCTATGAGGTTCCATGCAGTCACGTCTGCCTTAATAAGAATTAGCATATAGCACCAGATTTTTAGGAAGTGTGCCAGCACAGCCTTACCTAGTTATCATAACTTCTGGGTGAGGATCTCTGAGAAGGGAGCTGATGGATTTTCAGTGGGTGAAAGCTTATACTGCAGCAGGGTCTGGGACCCTCACTTCTTGTCTCTTCCTGGAGTCTATGCAGACAACTGTGGCCTGTGCTCCTGCTTTAATGGGGGTAATTTACACACCCCAGGAACAAACTGCTCACATCCTTGCTTATAAAAGGACTTTTCTTCTCTAGCCCATGTTCAACTAACTCACTTTTGTTCATGCTGCGTGCCTCTGGGCTGCTAGGCTTAGCTCAGCACTCAGACACTAGGGGGAGAGAGGCAGCCCTACCTTGGACTGGCACACTGTATGAGAAAGTGAGCAGTAACTCTTCCCAGCCCAGGAGGAAGAGAAGCCAGGGAAGGTTCCAGACTAGGACAAGTGATTCAGCTTTATTCCCACAAAGAGATTAGTGGAGTATGAATTAGTGTCCTATTTTTCTTTTACCTTTTATGCAGCTTCATATGTTGTATGTCCAACCTCCCCTCCTGCCTTGGACCTGCACATTTCCTTCTCATTTCTTACTGAATATTTTTGTTTGAACTCAAGAAGCCTCTTTCCTCGTTGGCATGACTTCAGAGAGCTTATATTCTCAAATTCACACCATCTAATTGTGTAGTCACACCTAGTGAGATGTATATTATACATGTGAAAGTTCATATACTTTTATAGTCATAATTCTGTATGTAATTGATTCCCTACTAAGTCTTTATAATGCTACGAAACATTGGAGAGCACTTATGGTTTCCCACAGAGTCAATTCAGATTTTCCATGTTTGATTAACTATGCTCTAGCTAACCTCATTCTTAGCACAGATACTGAGTGAGTTGTGTCTGAATGCATGGTAAACTATGCTAATGTTTTCTTTCCAAACAGCATACGACTTGTGAGAAAGGTGGTATGGGTATGTTTATGCATGTGATGTAAGATGGAGCCAAGAATTAGTATCATCAAAATTGCTATAACTGAAGTACTAGAGCAGATGAGGGAAGGGGTGTGTCACTTTTCACATGTGGTAGGACACTATTAGATCACTGATTGGATGTGTTTAAGGAGTACTCACTATGTGCCAGTCTTTGCTTTAAGCCTAGTGATATAGCAGCAAACAATTAGATGTAATTCCCAATAATCTTACAGGACTCAGCAGGTAATAGGGAAGTAAGAATGTCCTAGATGCCAATAAATGCTCAAGAAAGAGACAGGTGGGGTGGGATCATCCCAGAGAGACATTTGTAGGCTCTTGAAGGATGGAAAGAGAAGGAAACACTGGATAACATTTAAGTCAATGATTGGGAGTGAAGATAAGTCACACGTCTTTCTATCTGGAAGAAAAGTATTATGGCAGGTTGAATACCAGGGTAAGAAGCGAGAGTTGTGAGCATGTGCAAGACAGCCACTTAGTAGGAGGAGAGTGAGACCAGGACACAGTGTTAGAAATGAGTGTGGAGAGGCAGGAAGGGACCAGGTGATGTCAGACCATGCAGGTCTTTGAAGAGTCTACTTAGAACTTTGACAGGAAGAAGCTCAAGTCAACAGTCACATGTGCCTTGACCTAGCTGAGACTTAGAAAAGTCCCTCTAACTGCTCCATTGAGCATGTTGAGCTGGATGGTGGGAGCAGGGAGATGGTTGGGATTCTCCAAGTGGATTTGATGGTGTAGATCAGTATAATGGTGAGCTAGAGGTGAGAAATGGTTAGATTCTAGAAACAGAGAGCAGAGGAATTCCGGATGAATAAGTGTTGTGAGAGAAAGAGAGGAACTGAGTGACTTGAAGCTTCTTGGCTTCAACCGTGGAAGGATGGAGCTGATCTTCACTGAATTGAAGACAGATGGTGAGCAGGAAACAGTGGAGTGAGTCTAGCCATGATTCTGAGTGGTATTTTAAAAAGCAAGAGAGGCACCGGCAAAGGGCCCTTGAGTTGGAAGGGAGCATTTGAGGAAAGCCTTCTCTGATGATAATTTAAGCAGCTCTTTTGGAAATCCAGAGGAGGGCTGCCTGTGCCTTGATCTAGACTGATGGCAATCGGCATGGAAAGAAAGTGGCATTAAACAAGACTAATTGGCAGTGGGACAAAAGTGAACAGTGGTTCTTGGGTTTCAAATGCAGATGACTGAGGGCAGCTACCACCATTAACCACCACAGAGGAAAGGCAGCATTGAGATTGGCTACACCAACAATAACATCATGTTTAGCGAGGAGCAGCTTAAAAAAAATCCTTCCCAGATAGCATTTCAGCAGGTCCCTTTACAGTTGAGGTACCTAGGGGTATACTCAAGAATAAATGCCTATTCACAAGCAATTGGAAACTAGTCAAAGCAGGCCACGGCCTAGACTGGAGCCTCCAAAGTCATTTGCGTGGTAGTTAGAATTACACTCCTGAACCAACCAAGAGCGATGAAGAAAAATGTGATGGCAAAACTGGAGAGGATGAAAAACTTAGGTGCCCAAGGATATGCTAATATAATGTAAAATATGGTTAATGTACAATAGGAAAGATTGCTTCATCTAAGACTGCCTCTTTCATTGTCTTACTGCTCTCTGTGCTGATTCTGACCCCAGCCTGTCTGGGAGGCCTTTCTCATCCATGCTGTCTGCTTGCGTGAAGTAGTTATATCCCAACTCAGTCACTAATTTAAGTGAACAAGTCTCTTTACTGCCAGAGAGCAACTTACTCCCTTTGAGAGTTTGAAGCCTATTAGAGGATGATAGTTTTCACAGTGGCCTTTGAAATATGTAACAGTGATGGGGAAGAAAAGTTTTGAACCCCCCCATCCTGGCTTTATTTCCTGATTGCACATGTCCATGGACAGGGGCTACAAGTTAGGCTGTGAACAGCACCTTAAGGAAGGAGAAGGGTATCCGAGGTGGTTCTTGACAGGCTGTGGGAAGCTACCCTGGACTTCTGAGAGTTGGTCCAGTTGTACAGTGGTACAGTAGATCTTAGAGAATCATTATGAAGACACAGCCTCTTTTCATGGTGTTGAACTTGAGGAGAAAATATCAGGTAGTCACTAAATTATTTAGCAAGTGCCTACCTAGCAAAAACAGCCAAACTTTACTAGGTTATCTTTAAGGGAACATAGACAAATTCAGATAGGTGATGTTAGTGACAGATGTTCTCCCTCCCCCACAAGATACTCTTAGAGTTGACCTCTCTAAATACAAGCACCGCATTATTATTTTTAGAACTCTTCAAGGTTACCTTGACCATTTTGTGGAGAAAAAAAAGCATCTCACACCTGAGTTAAAAGCCAGGCTCTGGTTTCTGTGCTTTGGAAAAACACCATTTATCTGTGCTGTGCTATTTCAGGGACACTATCGCCAAAGCATCTGGGTAGGGCAGTAGATATTTAGGTGGAATTTCTAGATAGAAGCCCAGTCTTCATGTGACCCCTGAGGCTAGCTTCGAGAACCTTGGTGATTGCAGATATTTTTGTGACAGGAGCAAGTCCATGAGTGATGTCAGCGCAGAGGACATTCAGAACCTGCGACAGGTGCGGTACGAGGAGATGCAGAAAATGAAATCCCAACTGAAAGAACAAGATCAGAAATGGCAGGATGTGAGTATTCTACAACCGGGAGGAAGTGGGAGCATGGGGCACTTCTTGATCCTCTTAAGGATGCTAATGGACTTGAGTGACAATTTTCCTTGGTATTTTAGCATTCAGTACTATAGAAAATGGGCCCAAAGTACTGTTGTATGCCTTAAAGACCATTGTAAAAATGTAGAAGTATGCTTATCTTCTAAGAGACCTCAAAGTGTGGGAGGTTCCACCTAGCAGGTTAGTAAACTTGCTTACTTGGGAGAGTGGAGTATGACTACTAACTATGCCTCTGCTAGCAAAACAGCATTGATCAAGATTGAGATTGAAGAGGAACAGGATCTAGCTCAGATCTTGGCATTAGTAGAGAGAGATGAAGAGTTCTCAAAGTCATTTGGAAATGGGGATGACTACAAGTCAATATTATTTTGGTTGAAGTCAGTATCTGCTTATGATTCAAAAGCAACTGTTTTAAGAGAGCTGGCATATGCAAGTGGTTATGTGGACATAGACTTGCCCTTTATCTTGAATCTTAAAGAAGAAAGTATGAGCTTTTTTAGTTGAATATAGTAATTATTGTAAGCTGTAGGAATGTAATAGACAAATCACACTCCCAAGCCCAAAGATGTTGGGGCACAGCTTCATGGTAAGAGAGTTGGAGACAATATGGACAAAAGCACTGGAGAAAGTCAACCTCAATGTCCAAAGATGACTACATTGCTAAACTTTAGTGTCCTCTTGATGAAACTTGATTAATGATCAAGAAACAGCATGCAGGGCTCAGCATGTGGCTCTGTGTTAGGACACTTGCCTCATGTGTGTAATGCTCTAACTGCAACCCCAATCCCTGCAAACCAGTAAAGAATTAAGTATTATTTTGCTAAAACACACAATGAGTTCTTTTGATAAGAAAATAGTTATCAAGGTAGGATGCCCGTTAGGTGAGAGCAGACGAATAGTTGAGTCACTTTATTTCTTTTTGGGAAACTAGCTCACATTGGTTTCAGGTAGTTTGGAAAGCAGGGCTGGCCCTATTTGTCCCTGAAGTTTGGTAGCCACACTTGCTTTCCAAGCCCTGGGGGTGAGGTCTGGTTTGTTCTGAGACCTTCAGTATATTTCCCTTTGGATTGCGATTTCTCCTGGAATTCTTAGTATGGTATTTTCTCTGATTTGGAAATAGAGAAATATTTGTAGCATTCAGGTGTCCCAATTGGCTTATGCAAGCTAGGGATACCTGCATTAGATAAGATTGTCCAGGCTGATGTAGAACATGTTTCTAGGAAGCAAGTATAGGCTTGAACCTACATGATGGCCACTGTTCTCTCCCAGGAGGACTATGTTCTGTGAAATTGTGGGAAGTCCAGTGTGGTTTGTGATTGCCCCTTCTGTAGGTAGAACTCACTTTTTCTTCTAGGACCCTTATTCTTCTCAGTAGACCTACTCCACTAGACAATGACCTTTATACATGGTCTATGTTGTTGAGGGGAAGAACGTCTTGGGCTTGTGTGTTTCTGGGGATTGAACTAGATATTAATAAGATAGACCATTTACTTGAACTGAACCGTCCCTGGGACATTTCTGTCCCTCTCATCATAGTAAGCATGTGAATCAGGGGTTTGGAGCTTTAATGAAATTGAGTTTGAGGTATTTCCTGATTAATCTTATCTAGTGCCTAATTGCAAGCGTTTAGCATTCTTTGAGAAATGGACATTGATATGATGATTTCTTGGATAACAAAAGTGGGATTTATCTTATTATTAGGTCAGGGTTTTCTGGCAGGCACATGAGATAAAGGCTTGGTACAGAAACACAGGCTATAAAAAGCAAAATTAGGCCACCTTGGCACAAGTGGGAGAGCGAGTGCTTTCAGCTTGGTAACAGGATATTGCAGCATGCGCTCACCCGCTGCAAGGAAAGGGTGTGTAGACATTCAGGTATGACCGGGCTGATGTGATTTCTTGTCAGGACCTTGCAAAATGGAAAAGTAGGCGGAAGAGTTACACTTCAGATCTGCAGAAGAAGAAGGAGGAGAGGGAAGAGATTGAAAAGCAGGCCCTGGAGAAGTCTGACCGGAGCTCCAAGACATTTAGGGAAATGCTGCAGGACAGGTAAAGGCCTGGACGCCCCTCGTGTTTGGAGGCCCTGCACAGGGTGGGATATGTGGCCACCAGTTTTAAACTGTAAACATGTATGTACCGAAGCAGCCAGGGCTTTTTTTCTGAAGCATTAAAACAATATTGCTGAACTAGTGATCTGGGTTGACGAAGGAAACTAGTGCTTAGCATTGGTGAGCAGTATTCTTTCTTTGTCTTACACTGTACACTCTTCTGTAGGAGGGGTTATTAGCTGTATTTGATATTTAAAAAAACCCACTGGTTTTTCTCACTCTTAAAGTGAGTTTAAGCATAGGGTAGTGAAATGAAATCAACTTTTACTTTTAAATGAATTTTATGGACTGTAAGAGATCCTTGTTAAATTTTAGTGGTAGAGAATAAATTGTATTTAAGGGAAGTCTATGTAAGTGTGGATGTGGGGGTTTATTCTTTGAGTTGAAATAGCAGGATAAAAGTGAAATTAAAACTTTCTTGTGAGTACTTTAACTGTGTGGACCTGGAGCAGATAGATAGATCAGAGAAAAAGCAAATATGCTTTAAAAATAATGTCACAAAGGAAGTATGCTGGCAGGTGAAATTAAACAAAGCTCTTTTGTGTCCCAAATGCCAGTGCTCAAGAGTTTCATTCACTTAAATACAGAGTTAGCCAGGGAGGTAGGGCTCCCCACTAACTGCAAGATAAAGAGTTTCATTCACTTAAATACAGAGTTAGCCAGGGAGGTAGGGCTCCCCACTAACTGCAAGATAGAGCCGTCTCACCAGCTCTGTAAGTATGATAATAACCTTGAATCTATCATAATTGCCCATGGGGAATCTGTCAAGCTCCATGAACTGACTGGCTCTCTATAAAAACCCGAGTCTTTTGTGCTATTATTTTTACCAATTCGTTATAAATTTTATATAGCAAAATTAGGCAGATTTGTTATTGGTGGCCAGTCATTTAAAGCATGTTGATTTTGGAAGATGTAAATTTGTGTCTAAAAACCTGCAAAAAATCCCATGGTAGAACTCCCTTATTTTGTTGTTAAAGTATTTTTTTTTTTTTTTTTTTTAGTTCTTGGAGACAGGTTTTCTCTGTATTGTTTTGGAGCCTGTCCTGGAACTCGCTCGGTAGACCAGGCTTGGTCTCGAACTCACAGAGATCCGCCTGCCTCTGCCTCCCGAGTGCTGGGATTCAAGGCGTGTGCCACCACCGCCCGGCTGATTGTTAAAGTATTTTATGATTAAAAATATCCATTTGAGAGCTTCTTTAATAAAAGGTCAGGTCAGTATCTTAGTGGATGCTTAAAAATGACGCATAATCATGTTCGTATTGTGCTGATTATTGTGTTGAGTGAGTAACCACTTACATTATTAGTTATTGTCTTTACCCCATCTGGGGTCAAATGCATAATTCCGTGTAATGGCGCATTTTTCTTTGCTAAGGGAATCTCGAAGTCAGAATTCTACAAGGAGGATGTATTCCTCCGATGACGCCCTGGACGATGACGTGCTGCTCCCTTCTACAGTGACTTTGTCAGAAACCAGCTACAGGAGCGAGACACTGGAAGACAAGGCAACAGTTTATCCCACCGAGACGCCCAAGGAAGATTGCACAACTTTTGCAAACAGTCCAGACAGTGTAGCAGCTGAGGGTCAGCTTCCTCCTCATATTCCTGAAGAGCAGCCGCCAGTCCCTTTGGCTACTGCGGAACCACACCAGGCCCCCTTGGCTACTGAGGAACCACACCAGACCCCCTTGGCTACTGGAGAACCACACCAGGCCCCCTTGGCTGCTGCGGAACCACACCAGGCCCCCTTGGCTACTGGGGGACCGCAGCACCAGGCCCCCTGGTCTGCTACAGAACCGCAGCAGGTGTCTTTATCTTCGGTAGCACAGCGCCCAGTCTCGCTGTCTTTCCAGCAGTCGCTGAGCACAAGAGGAGAGTCGACTCGGATTTCAGCTTCTCTCCCTAGAAGTTACCAGAGATCCGATACAGCCAGGTTAACATCTGTGGTCACAGCAAGACCTTTTGGCACGCAGTCAAGGGGAATCTCCTCACTGCCCAGATCCTACACGGTAAAAAAGCCCCAGGTTCATTCAGTCAGTTCCCGAGAGTAATGAGTTGGGGGGAACTTGAGTAGAAGCTGGGGGCTGGGAAGATACTGGGTGTGTAAAATGCAGATGACATATACGAATAACTCCCATGACAATTTAGATCCAATAAAAACAGGGGTGGTAGACTTTACGGAAGACAGAACATTTATTTATTTTTTCTTGCCATATTTTTGCCTGTATCTCCTCTGAACTTTTAGGTCAAACATTATGAAATTGCCAGCAGTCGGCTCTTATTTTAAAACTATGATACGGCAGGTTTTTAAGCCTCACCTTAAATGTTCTCAGGGTTGTAGTTGTGAGGTCTTTTTTCCTTCCTTTCTGCCTTAGAACCTGACACTTGAGTATTTCAACCTTGTATGTTTAATGGGATTCAGCCCATGTGGGACATGTTAGACTGAGTTATGTAAATGAAAATGTGGTCTGAATATTTAACGTTTATGCTTCTGCTAGTTCTGTCCACCTTAATCCTTAAGATCTTAAGATTTTGACCTATAGATGAGAATTATTGCTTAGAAATCAGTGCTTTGAGCTGAAGGAAGCCTACCTAAATCTGTCAGGAAATCCCTTACCATCCTAGTAAGGAAAATTTAGACCTATTTGACAACATAAAATTAAAGTTGTATAGCAGGCACCATTAACATGCTGCTTTAGTGGCTTTCAAATATTAATAAGTCTGTTTTAAAAACTGAAACTCAGGTTGGCAGAATATTGGGTTGAAAATGATGTTTCCTCTCTAGATGGATGACAGCTGGAAATACAATGGAGATATTGAAGTTGTCAAGAGATCTACACAGACTCTGGTCAAAGCCGCTGCCCCAAAGCTTGACTCCACGCAGTTTGTCCTGGGCTCATCCAGTCAAAGGGAGGCCACCACAAGAGAAGATGTGGCAAGCATGTCCTCCCCAACACCCCTTTCTTCCCTCTCCCAGGACCAGGCAGCCACTTCAAAAGCCACACTCTCTTCGATGTCTGGCCTGGATTCAGTGTCTGACTCTGGAGAAGGGAGAAGCTTACCACCGAGGGAGGTTTCAAGGTCCCAGGTGAGTTTAGCGGGGTTCTTAGTCATCTGGCTCAGATACTTAACGATTTCAATCTGGCATCCATTGTTCTAGCCCCTAGCTTTACAGTACAGCCCGCTATTTATATTACTGGTCTGTTTTTAACAGCTTGTGGAGGAAGTAGGTATTTCCACCTCTTAGTTTGTAGATCTCAGATATCCTTGATGAGCTGTGTATCTGGAGACTTGGTACACCAGCCTCCTGGAAAGTTTGCCTGTAGTTTTTATTATTCCACAGCTCTAGTTCCTGCTGCAGATCTAATGTATGTGTGAGTAAGCAAAAGCCCTTCTCCATGGAAATTAGCCAGCTGCAGAGGGGAATTGTCCCATTGCTGGGTGCTTGTCTCTAGGGACACAACACTTTGTTACCTCTTAATCGTCTTGTGGCTTTTCATCCCAATTTGGACTTGAGAATGGCCACGTTTGCTGTCATTCCTTGTCTCTCAGTGGGAACAATGAGGCATACTTACAGTTTGACAACTGTGATTCTGAACATTTGGACTCCAAATAAAATATGCCAGCAGATGAAAAATGAATGGGAGTGTTTGTCATTTTTCCTGTTTAGAACCCTAGCAGATGGCTTTCAAGAGAATTATTAGGTGACATGCTTTCTTTCAGCCGGCATGTAAAAGCCACTGAAAGTCTTTGTCAAACTAACAAAGCTTCTTTACAATAACGAAAAGCCAACAGCCCTCTGGTTAAGCTACTTGCTAGTGTATAAGCCCCTTTTCATGGAGGCACTTTTGGTCTTTGACTTGGTCTATTCCCTGTTGTCTTACTGGTGCATAATTGTTTTCCAACGCAAAAGGTAAGATATGTCTCTTGAATATGTGGATAAAATAGATTTATGTGAAATAGTTTGGTATAACATGTTTACTTTTATTATTTTTTAATTATTGTAAGAAAAATTAAAAAAAAATCAACCCTCCTTTCCAGGCTATAAGACACTTACTTTGTACCTGAGAAATATGAGAAACACAAGAAAAAAATTCCTTGAGAAATATATCATTTAGAAATAACCAGTGTTAGTACTTAGGTAACTTTAAGTTTTGTATCTATTTGGTAGTGGTGTTTTCTAGTTCTTGTTGTTTCTTTGTTTTAGAAGAGTTTTTCCTATACATATTTACATTTTTTCAACTTATAGAAATCACCAGTTATAAATTATTGATGTATTTTCTAAGAATTAGAAATGGTCAGCATTATAGGTCTCAGTGGATGAGAGCAGTCCTTCGTACTATATTGGGGAATGTAAGGTATCCACAGGTGGATAATAAAAGCAGAGGCAAGGTGTCTTCTATTCTGTGGATTTGTATGTTGCCTTCCCTCTTTCAAAGAGCAAACTCAACAAAACAGCTTGATGAATGTGCTGCCCGCTAGACTATGTGATCTCCTTCGTGGTATCTGGCAAACTGCATCCATGGATTAAGAAAAAGAGGCCATGTGTGCAGCGTGGGTGTGTCCTACACTCTGGCAATTTCCAGAAGTCCAAATTAGCCTGGCCTTGTTTCAGGTTTCATCATAGTAGATTTATGCTGTTTCCATCAAGTTTGAAGTGTCATTCTACCAGGGAAGATTTGGCTTCGTTTAATCATTGGAGCTAGTGGAATTCTTGAGCACAGTTGTATTTCACGTGGTGACTGCCTGTTTGTGTTTGGACTATCCATTTCTATTCTGCCAGAACAGTAGTTTATGGAACTGACTTACTACAGCGAGGCTGTGAATGCATAACAGCTGATGAGTGAGATATTATACAGGGTCCTATATCTCACTCTTTCAAATTCCTGCTCAAGCTCTGTAACTCTAAATAGTCATAGAACACAAAGTTACGAACATTTAGATGCTTTCTTGCTTTACAAAAGGATGCTCTTTCAATCTTTCTCTTTGTTCCCCCATGCCTTTGCCTTGCATTTCTGCCTTTAGGATCACCCAGATTGTTACCCCCTTTCATCCCTTATGGCCAGTATTGTAACCCAGGTCATTTTTCTGTCAATGTAAATGGTTAGGAGTAGCCTCAGGTGTTTGTTCTACACAGGGCTCAGTAATTTCTGTGTTTTCTAGAGTCTCCTGATGCTCCTGGTTCTTTGAATGAAGTTCAGGATGCTCTGTGGAGTACTTATGTTCCTCATGACTCTCTTTGTCTTACCTCAGTATGACCTGATGTTCAATGAGGGCATGGGCTAGACAAACTTCACAGGGTACTGTATGAGTAAACCCTTACCACAGCCCTAGGATGTCATACCATCATCATTATTCTTACACACAAATAATTGAAAGTGTAGATGGTCTCATTACTTTTCCAAAACCATCCAGGGTGGTGGAGCTAGGATCCAAACTCAGAAATTTTTACCCAGCATTGCCTACCTTTTACAATATCAAGGGTACCTGAGCTTCCAAAGAATAGTTATCATTACTATTCCATTTGAAGATGTTCACTCTTTATCTCTCGGTGTAAAACCTTTCAAGTCCTTTAAAGTCAGGCAAAACCACTTCTTTCATGATCCACATAGTTTGTCCTCCTGGTTAGAATTGAATCGAGTATTGAAAGTTTCACTCACCAGCTTCTTCCTTGTTGCAAATATCCATGTCTTCCTCCTTCATAGATATTCTTTGTACTTTTCAGCCAACATACAGTTGTCAAGTAATGCGGACTTGCCCTAAATCAGTGCTGGCTTGAACTACATTCAAGGCCTTGTTTCCTAGCCTAAAGTATGAACTTGATCTAGGAGGCAGTTTCAAATTCTTTTTGGTTCTAGAGTGAGGGAGATTATGAGTTGAGGGGTGTTTTTTGAAGGCAAGCTCTGTGATGTTACATAGCAGTATTTTAAGGAAGGAAGTATGAAGGCAGAGGGATGGGTACAAGTCCATCACAGAACTGTGCTAACAGCATGGTTTATGTCATAAAGCAGGAAAGCTACAGTGAAAGAAAGAACTCAGCATGACTGTATCCACCTCTGCCCATGCAATGTCCTGTTTCTTCCATTGCTGAACTGGTGGTCTCCCATTGCCTACCTTCCCCTCTCTCTTCTCTTGGGGATTTTTACCATTTTTCCTGCCTCCCTGGTCAATCCAGGTTGCTGGGGGATCAAAGGGAAGGGAAAGAGATTTCACTGAGGGTCCTTCTTCACCCCTCAACTGTCTTGCCTTGCAGATATGGCTTCCAAAATTTCCCCTCCATGATTGTTTTACTTGCAAGTTTCTGTTTTCTGTCTATTCAGAGCAGCCTTGTTGCAGACACCACAAAAATGTGTGCCCCAGCCTTTTAAAGCAATTCACAGAAGGTGAATAGGAGCATATTTGAATGGAGGAAGCTTTTTACATGGTTTTGATTCTGTTCACGAACTGGACATAGCTTAGTCATAGAACATTTGCCTACTATGCGGTTCTAAGTTCAATCCCCCCAGTGCTGACAGAGAACCCCTTTAAATAGCAGGGCTGTTCCTTATTCTAGTTTAATTCCACTCCTTTCATGCTACACCTCTGATGAGAACCAGCTTACTGTGAAGTTGGGAAGCAAGACCATCTTTCCCCTGTTACCACAGGACCCAAATGTGACTGTGTCCTCTTGGCTTGAAAACTAAGTCTATGCAAGTTAAAATGTGATTTTATTTAATTCGTCTGGAAACTGCTTAATCAGCATGTACATCATGCTTAATGCTGTTTCCTATGGGAAACAAAGAAAGTAGGTGTGGAGCATTAGCCATGGGCATTGGCACCTTTTGAATGTTTCCTTTAATCTTCTCAGTAACCTTGAAAGTTGGTGCTATTGTCTCCAGTATTACTGGTGACATAATTAAAAGTTATGTGATTTTCCCCAGGCTGGTGAAATACATAGCCCTCACTCCATTTTCTCATATCCTAACCACTAATCATGATCAATTCTTCCTCCTCCAATATGGCATGCTCAAAGTTGTGCATTGCCTTATATAATTATATTGACTTAAAAATTGTGTGTGTGTGTGTCTGTATGTCTGTTTGTCTCTGTCTGTCCATCTGTTTGTGTGTGCATGCCACATGTGTGCACATGTCCACAGAGGCCAGAAGAGGGTGTTGGATCCACCAGAGCTGAGTTACAGGTGGTTATAAGATACCTGATATGGGTGCTGGGAACCGAACTTGGGTCCCCTACAACAGCAAGCACCCTCTCTCCCACTGAAATATCTCAGCCTCAGTCACTGCTGACTTATTTTTAACATCACTGTGTTTTTAGAATTTTAATTTTATAACCAATAGATATCAAAGTATCTTCTGACCTATATTGATAAAGTTATCACAAACTGGCCTCAACTCTCAATTCTTTTACCTTGGCCTCCCAGGAATTGGGATTACAGATATCATCTCCATGCCTGGAAATGAAATTATTCTTAAAATCATCCTGAGGAAAGGTGGCATATATTTATAGAAAGTCACCTGAGCTGAACTTATTTCAGAAATATAGGATTTGAATTCTTCCAAGCAGGCACTGGGGAGCTACTGGCAATGTAAATGTGGGGTGTGGTGTAATCAGCATGTTCTATACTTAGAGTTCTGGCAGCTGTGAGGAAGGAGGGATGAAGAGACAAGAGACAAACAGGTGATAAGAGGAGAGAAGTCAAATATACCTCTGAACTATGACAGGGACTTGTAGAAGGATAGAGACGTTGGGTTCCTTCAAGGTCATAGTCTGTGGACCTGAGAACACATCATTAAAAGTGTGTGTAGGGCAACAGGGGAAGACAGCAGAGGGAGGCGTTTCTAAGTCTCACAGCCAGTTGGGTAGTGATGCACGCAACCAAGACGTGAAGAGCCGGGAGGAAGCAGAGTGTGTCAGGGAGGAAGTTGTTTTAATCGTGGAACTGTTGGACCTAGTAGTTGAGGGTATGTTGATGAGTGCGGGTTGCTTAGGAAGGCATATAGTCAGAAAGGTTGGAATGACTGGGAAACTACAAGATGAAATAGAAAAGGACGGACACATTGACAAAACCAAGATGTGAGTAGAGAGCCTGGGGGGAATGGGCAAAGTACAGCAGGATAATGGGTAGCGGGAACATTAGAAGAACGTTCCTCAGTTTGGATAAGCATTGGCAGTGCCTGGTAGGATGTACACACTTTGGTTGGGTTTTGCAGACAGAAGAGAAGCTTGGGAGGCTTGTATAAGCTGGCAGCAGTGGGTAGTAGAAAACCTACCGAGGGGTAAGAAAGCTTTAGGTGTATTTTTGGTGAGGGAAGATGGCTCCAGTATCAGGGCAGAGCTTTCACTCAAAGGTCATTTCCTTCTATTCTCATCCCAAGGACACCCTGAAATGCATTAAGGAACTACATGGACAGAAATTTAAAGATTATTTTCTCTGTTATTCTGGGTTGTGTCACCCAAACCTGCTTCTAGTGTCACTTTTTATCACATGAGAAGGCTTTCCATAAGTCAACACATTTGTCTAGTTGGAAACATTGGAAGGGAACAGTTTTGTTAGTGTGTAAGATTGACTCTGACTTTCATCAAATCCCATCTGTGGTGGCACTGGAAATCTTAATTCATCAACTCTAGGAGAAATAATTCATACTCTTGTGATACCAGGTCATGCCTTGTCTGTCTTTAGACAACCAGAGTCCCCTTCTGGCTCTTTAGTCTGGCAGTGAGTGGGGCGATTTTTCTTTCAGTGAGTGAAATTACTTTTAGCTTAAGTGCTGAATTGTTGGTAGATAATTATTATTTTCTCTCTTCTGGCATGGACAACTGAAACTACTTGGGTAGTTCATTTCTTACTCATCAAAATTTAGCTTTCCCTAGATAGTTTATTTTTTGTTCCATCTAGTTCCAAAAAGTAATTCCCTAATTACCTTCTGTAGCTCAGATCCTTTGCCTGAAATACTCATTTGGCTGAAATTTTGTAGAGAAAGTTAAAAATTAGAGATCCTGCCTGAAATGTTCATGTATGACTACAATTATAGTTATGTTTGCATGTAAGATGTCTTGGCCATAACTCAGTAGTACAGAAACCCAACACTTCATAGGAATGCCGTAAAGAACTCCACAAGGAAGAAGTGATTTAACCGGGAGCCTGCGACATGCAACTCTCAGCTTTCAGCCACCATCATGCACTTCATTATTGTGTGTATGCATGTGTATCATGTACACATACGTGATTATATGTTTGGGGAGGATGCAGTTTACATAATATATGAAAGCAGGGCCTCTTCAACCATGAAACACTTGAAAGTCAATGTCAGAGAGAAAAGTCCTCCAATGCCATGCATGAGGTGACTTAGACATGGACAGAGGTTCACCTGTAATTTTCCATGCCGTGCTCCTTTCTGTCTATGTATTGTCGTAAGGATGGACAGGACAGTCTGCCAGCATGGAGCCATTGCAAAGCCATCTTCCCCGTTAGCAGGTTCAGAGAGGTGAGTATCTGTTCTTTTACTTAGTTCAGAGATGTCTTCATTTTCAAGAATAGCCTTCTGGGGACAGTTCTTCTGGTTTACTGTAATTATGAAGCTCTTCCCTCCATGGTTGAAACTCATTGTCCGTCATCTTTTATTTGGAAGAAAAGGATAATGCTCAATTGCCGTCTCCAGAAGGACATTTTTAAAATGTAGTTTTAGAGTATTTCTTAAAACACTATCTCTTATTTTTTTCAACTAAAAAAACCCTAATTAGTGGTTTGATTACCTACCTCATCATTTGTCTTTCTGTCTTTGTAGAACCATAGATTCCGTACTTCCATGGGCTTTAAGTCAGGTCTTTGTATGTATGAGAGTGTGGCAAAGATGACCAATCCTTTCACTGAGTCCCCTTTAATTTAAGTGTGTGGTGGTTTGTGCTTAAATTATCAAGGGAAAGCTACATTTTTGATGACTAAGAAATGAACTACCCAAGTAGTTTCAGTTGTCCATGCCAGAAAAGAGAAAATAATAGTTATTCATCAAGAGTTAAACTAAGAGTAGAACCAACTAGTAGCTTTCTCTATTCTCAGTCAAGATTTCTTTACCCTTCAAATTGACACTCAGTAGGCTCATTAATAACACACATCATGACGACATCTGGATACCTCTATTTATACTGTTTTTCAAAAGACTTCCTATTGGAAACTTAATTATTAGCTGCACCTTTTCTTGCTTTTGAAGCCCCTCATATCCACCTTGGAAGACTTACAATGATTAGGAAAAAAGGATAAAGCCTCGTTTATCTTTCTTTTCTAAAATGCTGAATACCATGTCTTACACAGAGTCCATGCACAATAAATGCATGCTGCACAGTGAATAATTGAACCGTGTTACTGTTTTTCCATGTGTTCATAAAGCTTAGCACCGACTTGTATCTTTGCCTTTCTTCTCTTCCTTGTAATTCTTGCACATTATAGGAATTTTATTGTCACTTGAATCTTAAATTTACTTTATGGTTCGAAAACACAGGGAAAAAGCTATTACTAGTCCAGTTGGCCCTAAGTTTGAATTTAACTGCCAAATTAGGATTAGCAGTTTGTGGCCTGGAAGGTAAAGTAACTTTGGAAGGATTTTTTTAAATAGGATAGTCTAAATTCTTTATGATTAAAAAGCTAAGAACGAAAAGAGTAATTTGATAAATGCATGTAATGGTGTATAGCTATTGTCTATCAAAATAAGGCATACATTAAGAAGGTTGTTTGAAAGCCAGGCATGGTGGTACGCTCTAACCCCAGCACTGGGGAGGCAGAGGCAAGTGCATCTCTGTCAGTCTGAGGCTAGCTTAGTCTACAAAGAGTGTTTCTGGACAGCTAGAACTGTTACACAGACAAACCATGTCTTGAAAAACCAGTGTGTGTGTGTGTGTGTGTGTGTGTGTGTGTGTGTGTGTGTGTGTGTATGGTCTTCATATACGTGTGTGTACCCCATGTGTGAATTGCCTATAGAGGCCAAAAGAGGGCATCAGATCCTCTGGAACTGGTGGTACAAATAGCTGTGAGCCACTATATGGGTTCTAGGAAGTGACCCTAGGTTCTCTGGAAGAGCAATCAGTGCTCTTAACTGCTGCACCATTTCTCCAGTCCCTAGGATTTTCTTAAAGAATTTTCTAAACCAAATTTCAGTTTCACAGTAAGCTATCATTGCTACATCATGTTTTATTGACAAGCAAGATGGCTCAGGCACTAAGCCTGACAACCTGAGTTCAGACAACAGAATTTACTTTGTAGACCAGGTTGTCCTTGAACATAGAGATCCTTCTGCCTTTCTCTTCTAAGTGTTGGGATTGACAGCATGTGCCACCACCATCTGGCTTAAAATAATATCTTGAGAGACAGAGACCTTATCCTGGGGTATAGGATTTGTTTTCATGTAGTAAAGAGGATGGAAGTAGAGTTCTACTTTTCCCAAGATGCAGGCTCCAGGGTACTGGTGCTGCTTCAAAGGAGCCACAATCTGTTACTCTGGATGTCCTGTGTGCAGTTTCTTTCATATTAGAGAGCAAACTTCTGTATTTTACAGCCTGGGCATCAGCAAGGTCTTTGTCTCTACATCCTCATGAATCAGCTGAGCCAACAAATACGCACTCCTACGGATAGCTGATTATATATATGTCTGTGAGCCATTTGCCTATTTCAGCTACGAATGCTTAATGCTGGAGGTCAATTGCTTTTCAATCTGCTGTCTATAATTTAAATTACTCTTTCTTGTTCTTAGGTGAGGAATAAGTAGTTTGTAAATTAGACCTGCTTGTTTGGTGAACAAAAGGCTAGACTGAATTTTTTAAAAAAATAATATACATATTTAATTTCTGTTCTAATGTATATGTAGTGAGGAAGATGACAGAGAGAAATGAATAGACAACAGGTATAGGAAAAGCAATAGAAAAGCCTAGAATTAAATAGCCAACTTGTTTGTAGGATTGTATTAAAATAAAGGAAAGCATTGGTTGACAGTAAATTTACCCTTCCTGATTTTAGCAGAAAACAGTACTCTGTCATATACATATAAGTGGAAGTTTTACCAGAACCAAGGAAGAAAATGTCTTGAACTGACTCAGGTGTACCTTGGTGTGGCTTCCCGTCTTTCATGGATAGGTTTTCCTCCATGTGGCTGCCAGGGACACCTGATACCAGCGTTTCATGTTTTACTTTCAGGATCAGTTCAGCGATATGAGAATCAGCATAAACCAGACGCCTGGGAACAAACCTGACTTTGGGTTTACAATAAAATGGGACTTTTCCAGGATCTTCGTAGCATCGGTTGAAAAAGGTAAATCATATGCCTAACTATATTGTGCTACCTTCTCTTCTGTGTATGGGAATTAGAAGCCACTTGAGTTGTGTGTGGGGTGGGGACATGGGAAAGATGCATTTCAGTGGAGGAAAGTGACAAGCTCTCTTCCCAAGACTAGTAGTTGGAATTACAAATTATGTATTGTTTATTCTCCCTTCCTAATTGATTTTGTTTTGAAGAGTCGCTATTTTGACCTTAGAGAAAATTTTTAAAAAAAACAAAAACAAAAACTTAATTTCTAGGAGTTGTTAACAAGTAGTAGTACTTACCTTGAAGACTTAGTGTAAAATTTTCGTGGATAATTGTATTTTGTAGCAGATGCATACAGGCCTATGATAGATCAACATGGGGGTGGTTAGTGCTTGTAGTGACTTGAACCCAAGTGTGTCCTGCATGCTAGGTCCTCTGTCCCTGGTCACCACCTGCCTAGAATGGTGTTTTCTAAATATGTTATCTGTCATTTACTGTATGCTCAGAGTGTTCTGGGGCTTCTGCTGGGTCAGCCAGGGTTGGGCCAAGGCAAACCCAGCCACCGCTAAATTTGTCTTCAACGATGAAAGCTGCAATGAGAGCTAGCTATTTGCGAGGAGGTCCATGTTCACATATTTTTACCATACAGAACTGTGTGTTGACATCCGCTCTTGCTTTGAAATGTCAAAATTGATGGAATCATGGTAGTTTAAGTGGTAATTTTAGGCAGTTTGAAAAGACTCTTTTTCCTTCTACTCCCCTCACCCCCAGAGTGCTACGTGATGTTCAATTAAAGTATAATATAGTTCACATTTTTAATTTAAAATGTTACATTGTTTCTTTGTATTTAGGGAGTTAATTATTTGGGGAGGGGGAGCTTCACTTACCATTTCTCCTTTCAATGTAAATGAAGATGCAGACTCTGAAATGAACAGTGTCCCTGGTACTTGATGCGGTATATGGATTCAGTTATTAGATAACCTAAAAATGCCAGTGTTGCTTCTCTACTGGAAGCAATAAGAACTAGTTGAGATGAAAAAGTCACTTTCCTTAACTTAAAATAAAAAGCAACAGGAAGCAGATTGTGTGTGCATCCCTTTTCATTTGACTTTTTAACTTTTACATTGTTTTAGGTAGCCCAGCAGAATTTTCTCAGCTGCAGGTAGATGATGAGATTCTTGCCATCAATAACACCAAGTTTTCATATAAGGATACAAAAAAGTGGGAGGAAACCATGGCAAACGCCCAGGAAACTGGAAACTTAGTGATGGATGTCAGGCGCTATGGAAAGTCTGGTGAGTTAGTTTCCCTCTGTGCCTGGCTTTCTAAGTGGAGAAACCCGACTTGGGCAAGTGGTTGTAACAGTTGGCTTTATTAACCCTCTCCCCGACCCCCATTTTACTTAGCTTTGGGCTTGCAATTGTTTCGTCTTTGTGTTTGGACAAATCATGGGCAGCAGCTCTGAATATTCCTCCTGAAAATGCTTCACTAGTAAATCTACTGAATTCGACACCGTTTGACTGCCTATGTAACTGATCTGGCTGAATGCAAATGTTAAGTAAAGCAATTGTATCTGAACCCAGGAGTCACAGAGCTGAGCCTTAAAAATGGGCACAGTGGTGGCACATACCTTTAATCCCAGCATTTGGGATGCAAAGGTAGGCAGATCTCTGAGTTCGAGGCTAGTCTGGTCTACAGAGTGAATTCCAGGATAGCTGGGGTTACACAGAGAAATCCTGTCTCAAGGAAAACAAAAACAAAAACAAACGAACAAAAAAGACAGAGAGAGACTGATTTAACTTATAGTAGTTAACTATACTGCTGTCATCAAGCTCACATTAGGATACATTCCTATTTATTCTCATAACATTTTAATCTGCTATTTATATCATTGTGTTTCTCTGTCATAGGTGATGGATAGATGGGAAGGGGAGTTCAGTCTCTTCGGACTCACACATTTTTTGGTGTCACCATACAACATGTAGTCCCAGCTTAGGAAAAGAATCAGCACATTTGCTAGTTGCCTTGCTACTACCATGACTTTAACCTTTGGTTTTGGGGGAAGGTGGTCTGCTGGTCAAAGCCCTGAAGTCTCCGTGTCGTTGACACGCTACCTGATTCATGTGTCTGGCTGTATGTGTGTCTGTGCACACTTTGTATCTGTTCATCCAGTAACTGTATTCTTTCTACTTCACCATCTACGTGTACTCATTACTTGAACTTCATGTGCCAATCAGACTGGGGCAGAGACCAACCTCCCCTGCCATCTATACGGCATAAAACCCTCAATCTTACCAGTGTGGCTACCAAAATTATAGGTTCACCCGAAACAAAGTGGACTGATACAACTTCAGGCATTTACAACATGGACAAGTCTTCAAGTCTGTCGGTAACCACTGATTTCTCTGAAAGCCTCCAGAGTCCTGTAAGTAGAACCAAGTAACAGCAGAAGCTGTGTGTGGGAAAACAGTTTTGATACTGTTTAAAAGATAAATAGGTTATACTTAAGAAATGCACTAAAGTGCAGTCTTGAAAATACTGGGTGTTTTTACCAGCAGCCTTTTATTATTGGGTTATGTAAAGGTAACGACATCCCATAATGTTGCTCTGCAGGTGTTTTGACCAATCTTTCATCATTACGGTCATATCTCAGATCGGTGTGAATGAGAAATAGCGATTGTGAAAAATTACATGCTGTGCATTCTTTGTGTTCTGCAGTCCATTGGCAAATTGTAGTCACTCTGAACACCATGAAACCTCATGAAGCAATTTAATTGGATTGCATGTGTGATTAAAACATAATCAATTTCATGAATTGATTTAAAAAAGCACAATGCAGGGAATTTCAGAATGTTAAAGCAGTATTTTTTTTCCTATAGATTTTGAAAAAACTGCTTTCTGTTTCTAATCACAATTGTTTATTTAATCACAATTGATAATTTAAACTGTGAACTGAATAAACATATCCAAAAGAAACTATTATTATATTTTAAAGGACAGATTTAAATGTTAAAGAATCATAAATGATTGTTTTACTACTTATATGCCCAATACTCATAAATATAAGCCAAATGAATGAATATTTTATCTATCATGCCTCTTAGAATATTAATGACTGATTAAACTTAGTCATTCTTGCCTATAGCTAGTCATTAATCCTTTCACAAGTATTGCAGAGCAATGAAAAAAATTAGGTTTTTAGTACACGTAAGAAGCTGTGAGTAATGAATCAATAGCCTGAAAAACGCATCTTGTTCAAAGATACTTTTCCCTAATGAGAGATGTATTATTTAAGCCCAAAGTCTAATCAGAGAGAATGTTAATTAGCATTTTACCCTTTCCAGTATACCGAATCTAAAGAAATCAATGGAATTCACGAGGAAAACAACACCTTTGATTCAAAAGGTAAAGATCACTTTGAAATTACTTTCATTTGTTCCACAGGGTAAGTTACAGCTCTTGAGATCTGCCATAAAAATTGCTATAAGTGAGTGAAGGAAAGCCAAATGCACAGCAAACTGAAACTAAGATTAGCATGCAGATCCAGTTGCTGGCAGGTGGGAAGGAGTCAGTTCCGGCATGGAGCAGCGCAGAAACTCCAAACACAAATTTGGCAGCAGGCTCTGGAGCCCTGGGTACCCGTGTGCCTAAGCCAAATAAGAACAGGTTTTCCTGGAGCCGTCAGCTTCCTGGCTGGCAGAAGGATCTTCATTAAACACAAAATGAGGAGGTTCCCTTTCCCTCTTCATTGTTCTGAAAAGGATGAATGTGCAGGGAGCCAATCCTGGCAGAGAATCACCAGGGCTGTAACAATTGAGAGAGTCACCTTTGTTTGTCTTGAAAGAAAAGGCCAGAAGTATCCAGGGTGTTGTTACAGTTCTCTCTCTCCTCCTTGCTTTGACCATTGAGAAATAATTTAGCTACTGAATGCTGAGTGTTATTTCTTAGACATATCAGAAAGATCTTTCAAGACTATATAGGTATGAAAGTCCAGAAGAAGCTAAAGATCTTACACCATGAGACCAGGCTTTCCTGCCATGAGGCTGTTTGCTTTGGTGACTTTAGGCACACTTGGGTAGTTTGAAAATATGTTGAACAAAGGTGACTAAAGTTAATGAATTTGCCTCTCCTCTGTGGTTATTATCTTTGTCTCTCATTTCTAATAATTAGAAGCTAGGTCTGTTGTTTCCCTTATCAACAGAGTTTTAAAATAAACATTGCTTATTTTTCTTTATGAAACTAAAATCTAAGGAATCCCAGTTCTGTCTTCTCATGGCCCAGGTATTAGAGCCAATTGGTAAGAGGCCTACATGGTGGCCATGGACTCTATGAAGGGCTGGCTACTCGTTAGATAAGGAAGCACAGACCACTGTCAGGTGATATTTACAGTTTGGACCATAGTTTTGGGACCCATCTATGGGAGACGTCAGATTAGGTTTTTTATTTCTTACTAAAATCCATTAAAATAAGACTTAAGAGCTGGGCGTTGGTGGCACACGCCTTTAATCCCAGCACTGGAGAGGCAGAGGCAGGCGGATCTCTAAGAGTTCAAGGCCAGCCTGGTCTGCTGAGAGAGTTCCAGGACAGGCTCCAAAACAATACAGAGACCCAGTCTCGAAAAACCAAAAATAAATAAATAAGACTTGAGCCAGCATTTGTACATTTCTTAGATACTACTACAGAATATTCTAATCAAAGATACATTACTCAGCCGGGTGTTGGTGGCGCACGCCTTTAATCCCAGCACTTGGGAGGCAGAGGCAGGCGGATCTCTGTGAGTTCGAGGCCAGCCTGGTCTACAAAGTGAGTTCCAGGACAGCCTCCAAAGCCACAGAGAAACCCTGTCTTGGGGAAAAAAAAAAGATATATTACTTTTAGCATATGTTTTCATTTGACAATTCTTTAAGTTTAAAAATTTTTTCTGCATCTGCATCATGTTGTAAAAATGCTTTGGTAGAGAGAGTATTAGATCTATTAACCTAAGCAAAAAAGTGTTAGTTTTCATTTCTTGGAAGCCCTGTGCTATCAAATGATGGTATGGCTCTCCTTGCTGTGAACATACAATGCTATTTACTAAAAGTAATTAATAAAAGTATTTGTTTCTCTTACTAATTTGAATTAGTATAGACTACTAAAATATGTGTGTGTGCCTTGAAATAATCTCCATCTTCAGTGGCGACCAATTTTGTTATGTAAAAAATAACATTGCTCCAGCTTGGAAAGGTACAACCAGCGGTAAGAAATGAAAGTGAATGACATGGTATTTATTTTCTTATTTTTCAACTAGCATCAGAATCCATTTCTTTGAGAAATTTAAAAAGGCGATCACAATTTTTTGAACAAGGTAAACTGTGAAGCTAACTCCTCCTGGGCTCTCATGAACCTGCCTCACACTCCATTCTCCCCTGTAGTCTGTGGCTCTGGGCTCCAGTCTCCTTCCATCTCGCTGTCGTTATAACCAAGCAACATAACCCATTTCCATTCTTTCCTCCCCAGGATCACCAGGCTTTTCTTACAGTTCATGGGTCTACCTCTGTGGTAATGGGTCTTTGCGTGTCTGTTGTCTAGCTCACAAGGTGTTTCTCTCTCTTAACCTTGTGAAAAAACAAAACAAAACAAAGCAGTGAGATGCTATTAAACACACGTGTTTTTCCACTGGGTAACAGTAAGAAATGAGGAATTTCATTTATGCCTTACTGCTTCCTATCATTGGCACAGTGTTAGGTTACACCAACATGTGTTTGGTCAACTTATAAAAAAAATAGCCAGTTTTGCGTGATGGGGAATACCATTAATGAAGAACAGAGCTACCGGCTGCCATTACAATGATGGTGGCCGCCTCATAATGGTGCCTCTGTTGATGCCAAAGAAAGTTGGGTGCATCTGAACGCAGGAGCGTTGTGAAAGCTATGTTGGTGTAGCTGTGCGGGCTGCCTCGTGACGTGTGATGCATGTGGCCTTTCTTCATCTTCACGTTTGTCTAACACTCTGTCTCCTGAATGTGTTTCCAAGTACGTTTTGCTACGAAGGACTTAAAAATAATATCTAACATTTCAGATGCAACATCACAGAAGATTTACTGTTGCTATCTAAAATGTTACTGTTTCTTTAAAGATTAATGAAACGTTTTAAAATTTGCTTTATGATACCTCCTGGGTTTGTGTGTGTTGTGTTTATTGCCTAATATTCTTCCTAAGGTAGATTAAGTTTCCTCTCAGACCATAAATAGAGTTTATCAGCTGTCTTTGGAGCTTTTGATGTGTAGTTTTTCACTAAACTCACTATTTCCTGTGACTATTCAATTGAAGTGTTAACATATTCCTAATTTTATCTGGCTCAAACAAAATAATTCCTTGTCTTTATTTTAGTGTTCTCTCACCTTTCAATGAGCTATTTTAGAGAAGAACATTTTCCTATGTCTTAAAGCAATTTTCTTTTAATAGTTACATAAGCAAACAGTTTCTGTGACAGCTGAGATTTCAGGAAATTTTCTAAATACTGCTTAATACTATATTTTCTAAAATTTCACTTTTCTATAATTGTATAATGTGTTAACACACATTACTATAAGTTCCTTGATGATAAAAAGATTGTTAGCTCAGTGTAGTCATACACCACTCTATTGCCAAAGCTAGGCAGCAAGATTAAAAGTTCAAGGCCAGCCTAGACTAAATAGTGTCTCAAAATAATAGTCAAAACATTGACCAGGCGTGGTGGCCCACACCTGTCATCCAAGCATATGGATGATGGAGGCAGGAGGACTAAAGTTCAGAGTCAGTGTTGGCTTGAGGTCAGCCTGGATGTGATGAGACACTGTCTCAGAAAACAACAGTAAGATATATATATATATATATATATATATATATATATATATATATATTATAGTGTCTGATAGTTTACACATCAACCTTGAATTCCTGTTTCAAATAATAGAAGAGGAAAGGTGTCTTGAACTCGTTTTTTGCCATCATTTCAATTAGAATGCAGTTCATTAGCAAGGAGACCTGGGGAATGAGATCGGCTGATGTCAAACTTTCGATGAATATCTGCAATAACTGGGCTTGGGAGATGTAATGTTGGTGTTCTTTCCCCCATTAAGCTAAACAATGGGACACTGTTCAGTTTAGTATCAATGAAGCCTCTGATGAAAGCCTCAGCAAGTTGGTGCTGTTCCCTAGAGTTTGGGGACCAGCAGTTTCCTCTTACTAAATTTGAGTTTGGAAGGAGGGGTACAGATGGAACTGGAGGGACAGGAGTCGTAGCTGAGTTACAAAGAAAACTGATGTCACTTGGCATCCGGGTAGGGACAGCTAGTGATCTGACTCCCTGAAAGGAGCTACTTTGTCGAAATGGAGACTCACATTGTATCTCTCTTCCTTCCTTACCCACGTGCTGCAACACAGGGAGCTCCGATTCTGTGGTTCCTGATGTGAGTATTAGACCTTTCTAGTTGGGAATACGTAAGGGAAGTTTGGTGGGACTGGATTACTATACAGTTAGATTTCTTGCATTATCTTAAGATATATAAATGTCGATTGGGTTGTAAACTAAAAAGATTGGCATTGAAATGTGGGACCATGTCTTCTCCCCTGTGGTCTAAGCCAGCACGAGGTGAATAATTTGTGAGTGTGACAGAGTCTCAGTCGGTAACCGAAGGAATTACGTTGTTCTGTGTTTTACATCTCTTGTGCCACAAACTGGTTAGCTTCCGGTTCCAACCCTCAATGCCCCCAGTCGCTGGGCATGGGATCAAGAGGAGGAGAGGAAACGACAGGAGAAGTGGCAGAAGGAGCAGGACCGCCTACTTCAGGTAGCGCCGCATAGCTCGGGTGAACAGAGCTCTCAGCTGTTAGTGCTCTCTCTGGCCGGGGCCCGCCAGTGTTGAGAAGCAAGCTTGAGAAGAAGCAGAATGAAACCAGCATCTGTATCACTAGCAAAACCCTTTGCATATTGGGTGCATGCTTTGTATTAAACCTTTACCTTCCCATCTTGATGACTGTATAAATCGTCAGGTGTTAGCCCCTATGGGCACTTTGGCGACACGAGGGGCACAGTCTGTGAGGATTTGTCCCTGTCAGCAGTAGATGAGGGCTCTTTTGTCATCAGTGTCTCTCATCCTTGCTGGAGGCTTTGATGAGTTCCATCAACAGCAACACTTAGACATAGGTCTCCTTCCATGGGGCTGCTCCTTCCTGACATCTGGACATCTGCATTTTAGTTTAGTGCAAGACTATTTTTTTTTTCCTTTAGGGACTGAACTCAGTTTGGTCACATGAAAGTTTGATATGGAGGATTAGAGAGAGCAAAATGTTAAATATTCTGTTTCCCATGAGAAGGCAATCTTGAGTAACTATCATGCCATTATTTCCTCATAGGAGAAATACCAACGAGAGCAAGAAAAGCTGAGGGAGGAGTGGCAGAAAGCTCAACAGGAGGCCGAGAGAGAGAATTCCAAGTACTTGGATGAGGTAGCATGAAGCATGCCCCGTTCCCTTCCTTCTCTTGTACCTTTTTGGGGAACCTAGGCAAGGAGTGCCGCACCACGTTTCCCTAAACACACTCTCACCTCTTTGGAAAACACATCGAGCTCTCCTGTGTTAGAAATTTGCTTTGATATTTCATCTTCTTTCTCCTAGTTTTTCTGTTGTCTCATCAAGTCATTCTTTCCTAGAGAATGGGTAGTCTTTTTGCCCTTAGACTTCAGTTATTTGCATGGCTTTATTTATTTGTTTGTTTATATTTTTGAGCTGTAACTATCTTCTTGGAGTTCTGGACTGCTTGGGGTGTGTGTGTGTGTGTGTGTGTGTGTGTGTGTGTGTGTGTGTGTGTGTGTGTGTGTGTGTGTGTGTTTATTTATTTATTTATTTTTGCTGGCTACCTAGGAGCTGATGGTCCTAAACTCCAACAGCATTTCTCTGACCACACGGGAGGCTGTGGCTGCCACCTGGGAACCCACCTGGAGCGAAGGGTCTAAGTCTTCCGACAGGGAAGGAACTCGAGCAGGAGAGGAGGAGAGAGGGCATCTGGAAGAAGATGCTGCTAGCGAGGCCCTAAGTCGGAAGCTGGAGGAACAGCTGGTGTTTGAGCAGGAGAAGAAACGGAAGGAACAAGAAGCTCAGGAAGAAGAACTTCGGAAGCAGCGGGAGGCTGAGGCCCAGGCCGAGGCTGAGGCCAAGGCTCGTGCAGAGGCCCAGGCCGAGGCTGAGGCCAAGGCTCGTGCAGAGGCCCAGGCCTGGGCCGAGGCTCAGGAGCGAAAACAAGCTGAGACACAGAAGCACCAGGCCCAGAGGGAGCGCGAGACTTCGGTCAAGATCTACCAGTACCGGAGGTCTGTCCCTGTAGCTGAAGGGCACCATGGAGTTTGAAAAGCGGTGGCTTTGGTTTGTCCACGCTGTATGTCTTCCCTCCTCTGCCACGCCATCCTTGATTTACACAGGGGAGCCAGCTGGCTCCCAGGAGCCTTTGAGCCACAAACAGCAGTGTGTCTCTTTAATTCCCTCAGTGCTTGCATGGCTTCCCGACACATCACAACGCCATCAAAACTCCTTCCCAGGGCTAGAAAGCTCACGTGAGCTTCGTCTTGGCCTAGGAGCTTGGCTAAGATCTTTTAGGGCTTAGTTAGCATGGGCTCTTCCCTGGTTACTGTCTGCCTCCTTCTTCCTACAAAAATGCCAGCAAGCCTTGCCTTGGACGTCAGTGTTTTCTGTTACCTCCGAAAATGACTTCCTTCACATAGGTGTGACCCACTCGTTCGATTTAACAATCTACCCTGACATTCCACCTTAGCCTTTCCAGAATACCCGATTCTTCCTATCCACGGTGTCTTTCTTCACCACACTAGCCTTCATTATTTTCTTCTTGGCCTGCCTATCCCAAGAAGATGGGTTACAAAGCAACATCTTAAAAAAATAATTTCTGTAGCCCTAGATCGTTACCAGAACATGGGGCTCCCATCCACCCCAGTGTATGCACGACTGGACATTTGATTAGCAAATGCCTGTAGGTCTGTTTTCTGTAGCCATTGATTGAAACGCTTGTCTAGCTAGCTCTTAAGCCATAGACAATTTGCTTAAAGAGACCAGGATGCTATTTTGATATCCCCGAAGTCATTAAAATTTGATATTTTAATAGAAAAACATTTCCTTTTTAGGCCTATTGATTCCTACGACATACTCAAGAAAGAGGATGAATCTTCAGGGCTGCTTCCTAGTGACAGGTGTGTGGACCATCGCCTTCTACTTGGTTGGTACTTGTTGACTTTAGATGGAAGTCCCTCAGTTCACCTAGGTGATCTGTAGAGCTACTGTAGCCCTTTGTCTTTTGGAATAGGATAACAAAAAAAAACCTTGAAGATTGTTCTTTGTATCTGTCAGCTACCTTTAAACTTAGCTTATGATGTTTTGTGGCTCAGCATTTTGTACGGAGCTGATTTGGAAATTTGGGTGGTCTGGGCTTAGTCATCTACCTGCTGTTAGTTAACCAGAGAGCTCTGCTTTGGGGAGTTGGTACAAGTGTCTGGGGAAATGAGAGTGACTGTAAGCCAGTGGAATCTTACATGCACGGTGGATGGGCCGATAAGAAACAGAAAAGATGAAAGATAGTCTCCAAGACACATGCAGTCTAAGCTGTTGTTCAAACTAAAGTCAAAGGCTAGAGTTGTGTGTAGCTGACAAATGTTTGAAATCTAAGGACACAGGTGGTTGAGATAGAAGGGTTGATGTGAGTTCGAGACTAGCCCAAACAACATAATGAGCTCAAGGCCAGCCTAGGCTATAAAGCAAAAACCTTTCCTCAAAAAAACAAAAACAAACAAACAAACAAAAAAACCAAAACCACCCACAGAGAAACAAAAGTTGTATTACCATCATACCTCGTGGGTAATACAACTTTTGCCAGGTGTAGTGGCCCATGCGGACCATGGGTCTGTATTAGAAAGAAACACAGGATTTCAGCAATCAGAAAAGGTAAATATGTTTAAAGTTTCCTAAAGCATTAAGCTTTAATATTTACAAGCAATTAAAAAAAACCACTTCACTGTTTTAAAATCACTAAGGACTTTTGAGTAGCCCATCTGTAGATGTCCAGTCTGTGGGCTCTAGCCTCTGCTCAAAGAGCTAAAATGCTTCCTCTAGGATGCTTGCCCACGTTATCAGATACAAAGAAGCAGGCACATTTACTGGCATCCCAGGGGGAGTGAGAGGGCTCAGGAGAATGGAGGAAGCGTGGGACTAACTGGGTAGGAACGACATATTCAATAGCTAGGGAAAAGCCTCCCAATAAATGACCTGATTATGGTGAACCCCCCAGAGAAACTAGGTATCATTAAAATGTCCCCACCCTCATCATTTTATTCACTTTACATACTTATGTCTCAGTACAGCTCTACGAGAAAGGTATATTTAGTCCTACATTTTAAATATGTGTTGAAATGGAAACTTGCGTAGGTTGACCGTTGGCTAAGGGCACTGAGACGAGAAAAGCTAGGAATCACTGGTTTATCAACTTTCAGAGTTTCGACCTTCCCTTCCATGCAATGCCCATTTGCCTAGAATGCAGGTAGTGAAAAGCTAACTAAGAAAGAAACCAAGCCAACACAAACAACAGGCCAAAATTATGATCCTAGCACTTGGGAGGTAGAGGTAAGGGGATCTCTGGAAGCTCAAGGCCAGCTTTTGCTGTACATCTGTCTTTTAAACCTATGGTTGGATGTATATAATTGGGGAGTATATACTATATATTATACTATACTATGTAATATAGAATACTTAAATAGTGCTATGTATAACACATAAATACTGCATAGAGTATGTAGCATAGACCTTATTGGCATTGGGTAGTACAGCGTGACATCTGGTGACAAGTGTTTTCATTGTAAATAGAGGCATGACTTGACAGATGCAGCTGTCTGTCAGTTATAACACATTGTCCCACACTATAGGTTATTACACAGGATGCAGACATTCTCTCTCTCTCTCTCTCTCTCTCTCTCTCTCTCTATATATATATATATATATATATATGTACATATATATATATAGCACACATAGGTGCATCTGTATATGGTATTGTTACTATTTCTGAAGTTCAACTAATTGAGTAGAATGAGGAGATGAGCCTGTGACCTTTTACAGACCTTTACTACCTATTTGGAATGCCAGGATAGCATTTGGCAAATGAATGATCTGTGGCCTCCTGGTACCTTTATTCACATGCTGATACCAGACAGTGTGCAGGAGGCAGCACAGACCGACTCTGAGTGAGCTGGTGGCTGGGGCAGAAGCCAGCATGGGCAGAGCAGTCTCCGTCATCCAAAGAAGGAGAGAGGGTCCCACATTTTATGTATTTCCAGCATTTATTCTGTGTACTGCTAGTTTGCATAATGTGAAAAATTCCTTGGTTCAAAAATAAACACATCTCCCAAAAGACATAGGAAATCAATATCTGCTTAAAAAAATTCTTTGCCAGGTGTAGTGGCCCATGCCTTTAATCCCAGCACTTGGGAGGCAGAGGTAGGTGGATATCTGAGTTTAAGGTCTACAGAGCAAGTTCTAAGACAGCCAGGACTACACAAAGAAAACCCTGTCTTCGAAAAGCAAAAATCCAAACCAGCTTTTCAGGAATAAAATAAAATGTTAATATGACATATTTAATATATTGTATTTTAGGAGTAAGTCAAGATCTACCACGGAACTAAATGATGTAGCCACACAGAAAAATGGTAAGTGTGATGTGTGTATTCAAACTTTTATTCCAAAGCAAAGTTATATATTTGAGTGTTCATATACTATGATTAGTATTTTTAAGTGCAGGAAACTTTAGATTCATTATATTATATGGTTAACATGCTATTTTGAGTAATTGCAACAAAACAACTAGTATTTGTTTTGGCTTTCTTTATAATAGAAAGTACTGCACTGGAGCGTTTGAATGCCTAAGAAATATGTGGGACGTTTGCAGAGAAAATGTTGACTCGGCTTTGCATGGTAGATTTTATCTTGTAGCTAAACAATGAGGCCAGGAAAAGTAATGCAGAGGACTTAAACAGTACGTGTACATTTGAAGTCATTCATGTAGATGGCAAAAGATCTGAAAATCCAGCAACAGGGATTTTTTATTTATTGAAAATCATTTGGAACTTGGAGCTTGATATAAAATGTGGACCTGGTTAACCCCACATAACTGAAATTACCTAAGTAAAGAAAAAGCCCAAAGCAATAGCATCATAGGTCCAGAGTTTGCTTAAGCAAATTATTGGTCAGTTCTGCACACAAAGAAAGGTTCAGGTGAGGGTTGAGGTGGACAGAAAAGCTTTGACTCTGTCGCCAGCCTCTAAGGTTATTCAAATCTCTAATGCCAGCTATTTCTGGTTTTAAAACGAATAAATAATAATGTGTTTCATGTATTATCTTTAAATTGCTGAGAAGGAATTTTTAAACATTTAAAACTCACTGTAAGAAAAACATTGCTTATTTCATTGGCCTGGGGTCTGGTGGCAGTTGATATGTGTCTGGTCAAAGCTCAGAGAATTGCGTTTTCATTAGACCAGGTGGCAGTATCATTGAAGGTAGGACCTTAAGTTTTCATGTGCACCCTACTTGGCTTGTCAGCATTGTGGGCCCACCTTTCCCTCCAAGAAGCACAGCTCTAAAGATTGCACATCTCTTATGTCTTCACTCAGCAGATACTTCTAATGAGTTCCCTCTGGTCTTTGGATTTCTCCTATTTGGGTTTTCAGCTCGTCTCCCTTGAACTTGACCTAGCTACTGTTAAAATTATAGATTAAGTACACTTGTCTCGAGTGACATACTTTCAGCCTGTGGCGTTTGTACTCTGCCCCGAGTGAAACCTGGTTGGCCGGTGGGCACCTGTGACCTCTGAAACAGCTGCTCCTTGGGTTTCGTGTCTCACCTGGGTAGTTGGTAATGTGTTCTTTTGTCCCTGTACCAGCCACACCTCCTTGAATTAGCAGACACTAAGAAATTATTACACGCTTGGTGGGATGACTTGGGTATGCCATCAATGTACATTTAAAACGAAACATGTTTTGTTTAAAACTAGCACATTGGTGTTATTTTTAATATACTATGTGTGGGTGTGTACTTAAAAAGCAACAACAACAAACTTCTGTGGCCTGGCTCATTGCTGACTTGAAGAGATACCTAGACACGCTAAATATTCTGAAAGTATGGTAATAACAATGAATTTAGAGAAGAAAAAATCCTTACTTAAAATTTTCTAATCCCAAATTAAAGCAAGGATGATGCCTCCAGGTTGCATGTGTTTTACATAAATAGGCAATTAGTCAGCAAACCCTGGGGATGCAAGCTGACTTAATTGCCACTAATAAACTTAAAAATTATATTACATTTTATACATTTTTTAGAGCACAAACAGATTTGATATTATGGACAATTATTTTCTGTTGTTCACCAGGGCTATGTCAGTGACTGAATAATTCTACTGTGTGATCATGACTTATTGTGTGACTTATAACATAAACACTTAGCCCCTGCCAATTACAGATGTGTGCATTTGTGATGTAATGGAAAATTCCTTGTTTCTATGAAGACTGTTTGTAGCAAACCTTCAATAAGTGGTCTCGATTGAAAGAAGAAAAACTAGATGAACATTTTGTAACTGAACATATCTGGGATCTATAGGATTTTTGTGTGTGTGTGTGTGTGTGTGTGTGTGTGTGTGTGTGTGAGTGCACCTCATGGGTGTCTTCAGGTGGAACTGGAATTTTCTGGAATAAGAGGCAGCTAGTTACACTGTCTTTGGAGGCTGATCCATTGTCATTCCTTGTCTTGTACTTACTACTGAAGCCTTTGGTATGTTCTTAATTTAGGAAGCAGCAAATATTCAGACCGAGTTAGGACTACTAGCTTTTCACAAAGGAGCTCCAAGAAGGATCAGGGCCCCTCGGAAGCAGAGTTGGAGAGACAGCAAATCCTCCAGGAAATGAGGAAGAGAACGTCTCTCCATAATGACAACAGCTGGATCCGACAGCGCAGTGCCAGTGTGAACAAAGAGCCCATCTGCCTGCCTGGGATCATGAGGAGGTACTGGAGTTGTCTCTGCAAATGTGTCTTTTCTAGGCTTTGCTTTTTGGCTGTGAGCTATCATCAGACACAGTTGTTGTGTCTGAACCATCTCATTTAAACTGGGGGATAATGTTTTGAAGTAGGCTCAGTTCCCCTGTTTTTATTATATATGAAGAAGCTGGTTGAGGTGGGGAAGCCAACTGGACAAGATCACATGAATAGCTTCTAAATCTGGATGTGGAATTTGGAAATGGGATTCAGATAATTAAATACGAACTGACTTTCTTGTGTGTTAAACTTGAAGAGAAGGAAGAGTACTTAACGTTCATAACCAGGTTAACGGCTAGGTTGGAATCATGATAACTGGGTTCATAAAAACTGAAAAAATTAACTCTGTAACTTTTTTTTTGAATTTTCGAGACAGGGTTTCTCTGTATTGTTCTGGAGGCTGTCCTGGAGCTTGTGCTATAGACCAGGCTGTCCTCGAACTCACAGAGATCTGCCTGCCTCTGCCTCCCGAGTGCTGGGATTAAAGGCGTGCGCCACCAATGCCAGGCTTAACTCTGTAACTTTTAAGATGGTGAATATGTAGATATGTTTCAGATAAAGAACCAATTATTTCAGTGTACAAATAGCTGTTTTAAAACCCACAAGTCAATCCTAGTCCCTTCCGTGTTTCAGAGGGGAGTCTTTGGACAACCTGGACTCCCAGCGGCCCAGTTCCTGGAGGCAGTCCCCATGGCACAACCAGCCCGCAGGAGTCTATGCCTCGTCCTCGGTCCAAGACTTTAGTCGCCCACCTCCTCAGCTGTTGTCTACATCAAACCGTGCCTACATGAGGAACCCATCCTCCGCTGTACCGCCTCCAGCTGGCCCAGTGAAGAGCATCATACCAGGCCCCGCCCCGGGGTCTCCCACACCACACAGCTATTCCCCTTCGATGTCACAGTCAGGCTCTCAGCTCCGTAACAGGTGAGGCCCCTTGTCTCAATTTCAAGTGTGTTTCTTCATTGAAGCGTTCCCCCAAATTATCCAGCAAAGAAGAAAAGCAAGTCCTTTTGAGTGCATGAAATTTGGTGTTCTTGTATCAAAGCAATTGAGAAGGCTTTCTTCGGCCTGTGTCTGCTGCCTGCCTAGTGTCTACAGGTGTCTGGGAAAGACACGCCAGACTTTGAATATGTCTGCATGTCGCCAGGCTCTCTGTTGCCTGTGCTTTTGGTCAGTGTCTCAGCTGGAAGGTTTCCCTGAATAGATAACCATGTGGCATCAACAGGTGGTACAGTGGCTCACGAACTTCGTATTTATGAGCAGAGGCAGCATTCTGAAGTGTCTGACTTTGAATGGCACTCTAATAGGAGAAAAGCACGATCAACAGGCTTCGTAGCCTGGGCAGTTTGAACAAGCTGGATTAAAAAGAAAAAGTCACCCTGTGGGTTTGATCTTGCTTTCGGAGTCCTGGGTGGCTTCCCCTGTGACCCAGTCCGCCGCCAGTTTGTTCAGTGTTCATCACTTGACTTCTGCAGATCCTATGTTCTGGGGAGGGTGTAAAAGTTAGGTAGAATCTTGAATGGCCCCTTGTCCTGGAGTCATGGCATGAAGCCCTGATGTCCACGTCTTCATAGCTTCTCCTCTGTTGTCATCTCAAAGGAGTTCTAGTTTCCATTACAAATGTGATGATTCAAGGTAGAAATCCACTGATATTTGAGCATTTTAAGCTATTAATTAATAGACTTATATGTAGAGATTTATACACACATATATATGTGTATGTGTGTATCAATTCAAAATAATGCTACAATTACCAAGATCTACAAAATATATAAGAGAGTTGCATCAAAGGAAAAGGGGTCAGGAGGCCTTGGGTCAGTTTTTTTTGGAGTAGATGGAGTTTGAGAGGAGAGGAACCACTGTTCACTTATTCTCCTACTCTAGCCCAGTATGCGAGAATGAGGCGGGGTGGGGGGTTGGGGGGGGGAGAGCTAGGTTCTGGGCTTCTCTGCCCAGGAAAGGTCTTTGTCCAAAGGCAGATTGCTGTCTTCACACCTGTCTCTCAATAGCCATGCACTCCCTGCTCACCCAGTGGCCTGATGGTATTGTGCTCCTTCTTCAGGGGTGAGAAGGTAGGGATGAAGGCAGTGTCTCTTTAGCTGACTCATTGGCAGCTCTTGGGCTGTGATGGCTTCATTCTCAACGGAAGTGCCATCAGGAAAGTGCTCCTATTTCTAATCAGAAAATTGAAAAAGAAGGGGTAGAAAGTAAGGGTGAGAAGGCAAATCACAGAGACTCTGGGTGGGTCCGGGAGTGGAATGCCATGAGTGGAATTTTGTGTATTAGTCAACTGAATTAGCAAGAAGACGTAGCAGGTCAGAGATACCGATAAGTCCATATGCGATCTCAGGGTAATGGACTAAAATCCCAAATGGACCAATCGCATTGAAATTGCTCCTTTAGGGTGAACAGGCATCAAGGTCCCTAGAGCCTCCATTGAGACAGTTCAAGGTATATAATGAAGACATGCTTTATTTAGCTGGCTGCAAAAGTTGCTCTCCCTTGGATATAAAGAACTTGTCTTCAGTTGTTATCATCTCTGCCAGTGACAGTGTGACTTTGAATGCCAGCCTTGCACAACACAGGTGAAAGCCTTCATTCCATTCTTGTTCCACATCTAGGTCAGTGAGTGGGAAGCGTGTGTGCTCCTACTGTAATAACATTCTGGGCAAAGGAGCTGCTATGATCATCGAGACCCTGGGTCTTTGTTATCATTTACATTGTTTTAAGGTGAGCCCGAGACAAAGAGCTTGCCGGCCGGCCGCAATGCTTTGCTTGGAGAGCGCATGGCTTCCGTGAGCCCTGGGGTGTGGGAATGCCACTAACAAGCTTGGCCTGTTATTTGTCAGTCTGTGCTTAGCACGTGTGGGAGCCCTAAATTGCTTGCTGCTGCTTGGTTCTCAAACCTGGAATCTTCTTATAAAAGTCAGTCTGCCAACCCTATGCCTTTTGTAGCTCTAATCCGCTAGGATCCTATAAATAAAATTTATGATGCCTAGTGTGTTTTCTAGCATGCTGCCACAGGTAGGCTTAAAATTTAATTTACCAGTGTTGTTAGCAGCATAGAGACATGCAGTTATCAGTGTCTAACTGATAGCTTTTAATAGTGCCAGGAAGGAAAACCACTGTAAATATTTTTGCAGTTTCACAGCCTGCTTATACCTGATAGTGTTTTTGTATACAGGGAAGGGTTCAGGCTGTAACTCTTGATTTTACAGTATCTGTCTCTGAATGCATCATTGTAATTCTCGAACTCTCATTGGGCCAGTAGAAGGTCTCCCCGTTTTTGATCCAGGAGTTCTAAAGTTAGCAGCTTGCTTAAGCATATAAATTTGTGTATGTAAATCCATGTAGAGCAGAATGAGTCAAAATAGTGTTTGAACACACACACACACACACACACACACACACACACACACAGAGACAGAGACAGAGAGAGACAGAAAGACAGAGGCAGAGAGAGACAGAGAACACTAAAGTCCCTAGCCTTGACATGAATGCTTGCTCTGGGGACACTGCCAGAAACCCAAATTCTATTTTTCTTCTGTTCTTACATGTGGTAAGTTTGCCTTTATTTCCTTGGGGCAAGGAACATCAATCAACAATCAACAAATTGTTTTTGTATTTCTCTACCCCCAGTATTTAGAATGATTGTCTTGGTTCCTAAATTTTGCTTTATGAATTCTAACCCTGCAGGCTGGTTTTAATCCACTAATTGTCCTTTGAACCCTCCCTCCCCCTTGCTCTGTTGTAACATACCCAAAGATTTAGAAGCTGCATCCTAGGATCTTCTCGCCCTCTCTGTACGCTCCTTCACCCCATGTGTCTCTCTTCTGAGAGTGCTCCAGGGTTTCTGGAGTCCCCTCATGGTGCATTTTCTTTTGTCCATCAGTGTGTCTCCTGTGAATGCGAACTTGGAGGCTCTACCTCAGGAGCAGAAGTCAGAATCCGAAACAACCAACTGTACTGCAATGACTGCTATCTCCGATTCAAATGTAAGAGAGCAAATCAGAGAGAAAATTTCATGTCTTTTGAGGAGACCGCGGGTTCCTCTGCCTTTCCCTGAGCCTGAAGCCACCTCCTCCTCAGGTTCACTACCATAGGATTCTGGGTTTCAGGGGTCATAGTCTGTCCCCTTCAGAGAGGGTATGTAAGGAATCCCAGTCACCTAGGATGGGGTTGTGAGGTGCAGGTACTGAAGGGACTTATACCCAGAAATCAGGACATTGACTCTCATTTGCAAAGATCAGAAGAAACTTCTAATGACTCCTGGGCACAGAGCAGAGGTTAAGACAAGTCTGCTTTCTGATTAGGGCTCTATCTCTCACCATCTCATTTCCATTATCTAACAATGAGATCTTACTATGTGACTTACAACGTAATCAACTCTGAAAATGACTGAACCTAAGAGTGTCACTTTCTGCTTTATGTTAATGTGTAGCCATTTATCCATACATATTTTTTGAAAAACAGAACCTTGATTCTGTTTATGTAGTGTTTCAGTGTCATTGAATTGAAAGAACATTTTTCAACGGTACATTTTTCTAAGCACGTGTTTGAGCATCGTGAAGTATAGGTATCATGACTCAGTTGTGTGTAGTTCACAGCCTCAGCAAGACAACAGTTAATTGCTGTTTATCATTTTGAACCTTGACGCTGGTAACATGTTTCTTCCTTGTTGTGAAAGGGTGTACAAGTGGTATCTACAAACCTATTGCTTTTGAACTCAGAGGTATTTATATGGCCCCTTATATGAAGCGTGTTTGGAAATGATTTGAAGTGATCAACTCTCTTTTATCTGTCAATGGCTTCTGAGCCTTCTCCATGACAAGGCCTCCCTTGGATATTGCCCTTGAAGTTGGGAGAATGTCAAGGCTGGGCATGGGGTCTGGGGGAGGGGAGTGTGTATGTGTGTGCACTTTTCTCTTTTATATCCAAAGCCAAATATAATTGATTTTTTTTGGAATCAATGCCCATGCCTTTTCCCTCCTTCAGTACAAATAATAGAGAGTTGAAAGTTTTTTTTTTCCTGATTCAAGCAGTTAATTTTTACCCTGTTTTACAAATAAAGAATTCTAGACCCCAGGCTGCGATTTACGTACCTGTATCCTAAGATGGAGTGACAGGCAACTCTCTCTACCTCACTGGGCCACTCTGAGTGATGACTGCTATGTGTCCCCATATGCTGATATTCACAAGATTTGGAATCTGAGCAGTTTTCTCTCTTCTCTCCTTGCCTGATCAGCTGGACGGCCAACCGCCATGTGATGTAAGCCTCCATTCGAAAGCCCTGTTGCAGATAGAAGAGGAGGCGGTTGCTGCCCATGCAGAACTATAAATATGTCTTGTATGTCCCCCGCCCCTCTTTTAGAAAAAGAATAACCTTTGCCTCATTAGATGACATAGGAACACTGTAGTGTTGGTAGGACCTGTATTTTTATTGTCTATTTATAAGAAGGTAATTATGTGTGTTGTGGGGGATGTGCAGTATTTGCTTTTTGAATTTGGCATCCTAAAAGCACAAGTGGGAAAAAAAACCAAGAACTTAAAAAATACTTTTGAGGCTGTTGATGATCTAGTTTGACTTCTTTAGTGGTGCATTGAAGAGGGTATTTTGTTTTATTTTTTTAAGTTCTTGCACATTATTTGAAATAGTTAATATAAATATGTAATTGTGTTTATTGTTTATTGTAATGTATTCTAAGTTAATGTGGAACCATATGAAAAAATTCATTTAAATCCACCCATAAATTTGTTTTTCGTGGCTTTCTTTACGCAGAAATAATCCAATTGAGAAATAATTTTGCTTATGTATTATCTTATTTGCTTGAGGAGGGCATTCTATTTTCTTTACAAGGACTGTTGTTGCTAAGCAAATATCAGTAGAAAGCTGTTATTTTCAATAATGAAAAATAACCATGGTTTGCATACCAGGAATTTTCTCCAGAAACTAGTAAGCTTTTCTGTTCTGATGTCTTTGTAAATAAAATTGATGATACATTTAATGAGTGGATCTTTTTTTAAAAAAATTATGTATTGAATTACTAATTTGCTCATTTAGTGAATTTGTGTCTTTTGCAGTCCTTTTTTTTCTTAAGATAAAAACTATGTGGTGTGTGTGTGTGTGTGTGTGTGTGTGTGTGTGTGTGTGTGACAGGCATGTGTATATATGTAGAGGCCAGAGTGGGAGGATGCTGTATTCCCTGGAGCTGGTGGTGTGGTGGTCTGAGATATCCTGCATGGGTCCTGGGGACTGAATTCAGGTCCTGAAAGAGCAACAAATGCTCTTACCTCCTGTGCTGGTTCCCCGTTTCAAGCCTTTTCATTATATTTCAATATGTTACCTTCTTACTATTATATTTTATGTATCTTTACGAAGGTGCAATCAACAATCATAAACTGCATGTATTTGTATTTAGTGTGTATAGGTAAGTGTTCTTATAAAATCATGTCTCCTCTCCTTTTCTTCATGCATGCTACTCAAGCATCCTGCCACTAAATGACCCCCCCCCACAGGCCTCTGTTTCATTTCTTTTCTTTTTTATTGGTGTTTATTTATTATACATAGCTGTTGTTGGAGTTTCTGTTCTGCCTGGTCCTGCAGCTGATAAGCCCCAAATAAACACACAGAGGCTTATTAATTATTAAACTCTTCAGCTGATGGCTCAGCTTCTTATTGGCTAGCTCCTTCTTAATTATTAATCCATTTCTATTAATCTAATTAAACTGAAGAAGTGTTCAGACCTGTTACTCCTTCCTCCGCTACATGGCGTCTCTTCAAGGCTTCCCTCTGCTTCTTCTTCCCAGCCTTCTTCTTCTCTGGTAGCCCTGCCTATATTTCCTGCCTGGCTACCGTCCAATCAATGTTTTATTCATCAATCAACAAGAGAAATATATATATATATATATATATGTATGTATGTATATATGGATATCCCCCATCACATAGCCATGGGTTTCATAAAGATCTTTTCATTTGGATGCAGCACATACTTTGTGTTTACCCTCTAATATCCCCTCCTTTCCCCTAAAAGTAGACCCTCTACTTCCACGGCATATATAAACATGACTTTGTTTGCATATAAAATGCGGCACCCACAAATGAGAGAAAACGTGATGTTTGTCTTGAGTTATTTTGCTTTAATAGGATGGTTTCCATTTATAGCTATCTTGTTTTTTTGTGTGTGAGCACGCACGCGTGCGTGCGTACGTGTGTGAGAGAGAGAGAGAGAGAGCACAGAGAGAGAGAGAGAGAGAGAGAGAGAGAGAGAGAGAGAGAGAGAGAGAGAGAGAGAGAGAGCACAGAGAGCACAGAGAGCGAGCGAGCATGCCACTGTCTGTGGTCAGAGGACAGCTTGCAGGAGCTGGTTCTCTCCTTCTTCCATGTCCTCCATGTAGGCTCTAGGAATCAAACTCAGCTCATCAGGTTTGGTAGCAAGCATATTTACTATTTAAGTTTTCAACTGACCCCTTGACCCTGTGCTCATTTTCTTAAAATGATGTTTGTTTTTCTTTACAGCCAAATAAAAATGTATTGTGTATGTATACCACATTTTCTTTTTTTCAATTTAAATTAGAAACAAGCTTGCTTCACATGTCAATCCCAGCTCCCTCTCTTGTCTCCTCTTCTTCCACCTCTCTCTTTCCCCCAACCCTCCACCCAATCCCCACTCCACTCCCCAGGGAGGGTGAGGCCCTCCTTGGGGCATCTCCAAAGTCTGTAATATCATCCAGGGCAGGATCTAGTCCTTTCCCCATGTGTCCAGGCTGAGAGAGCATCCCTCCATATGGAATGGGTTCCTAAAGTCCACTTGTCTGCCAGGGATAAATATTAACCAAGGCTCCATAGATTGCATAGGTCTCTTCACTGACACCCAAATTTAGGGAGTCTTGATCAGTCCCATGCTGGCCTCTCAGCCATCAGTCTGGGGTCCAAGAGCTCCCCCTTGTTCAGGTCATCTGTTTCTGCGGGTTTCATCAGCACAGTCTTGACTCCTTTGCTCATCACTCCTCACTCTCTGTCACTGGGTTCCAGGAGTTCAGTTCAGTGTTTAAGCTGTGGGTGTCTGCCTCTGCTTCCATCAGCCACTGGATGAAGTCTTTAGAGTCTGGGAAACAGGGAGGACCCTAAGAGAGATGCATGGCACCCTGGAGAAGGGGAATGGGACAGGATCTCCTGAGCAGATTGGGAGCATGGGGGGAGGGGAGAGGGAGCTGGGAGAAAGAGAAGGGGAGAAGAGGAGGGGAGATGAGGACATGGGGAGCAGGAAGGTTGAGTCAGGGGAAGAATGAAAGAGAGCAGGATGAGAGATACCATAATAGAGGGAGTCATTATAGGTTTGAGGAGAGATCTGGCACTAGTGAGATTTCCAGAGATCTACAAGGATGACACCAACTGACAATCTAAGCAATAGTGGAGAGGCCACCTGAAATGTCCTTCCCTGATGAGATTATATACCACAGTTTCTTTGTGCATTCAGTGGTTGGTGGACACCTGGTCTGATTGTGTAACTTGTCCATTTTGAATACAGTTACAATAAAAATTTATGTGCCACTGTCTTCTTAGAATGCCTTTTAGGTATAAAAGCAGGGTGTGGAATAGTTGAGTGCTATGGTAGTTCTATTTTCAATTATCTGAGGAAATTCTATAATGGTTTCCATAGTGGATGAGTGATTTACTCCCCTATTGACAGTACAGAAGTACGCGATGGTTCTTCTTTCACCCACATTCTCCATAAAATTCCCTTCCCTCCCTCCCTCCCTCCCTCCCTCCCTCCCTCCCTCCCTCCCTCCCTCCCTCCCTCCCTCCCTCCCTCCCTTCCTTCCTTCCATATTTGGACAACTTCTGAGCTACATGACTGAATTGCAGAGGTAAGATTTCTTTGTCCTTTGTGTGGGCTAATCTGAGAAAACTGTGTGTTGTCTGTGGACCAGGGACTCCAAAAGATAAGGTTGCCGAATCATCAAGAATCATGAAGAGCATGTGCGAGTGGCATTTTCTATCATTCAGTCTATTCTAATAAACTAGTTCTTACTATGCCTTCCTCTAACGGCAGAAGTGGGCAAGAAGAGTTAGAGGGGTTGATTTTTTTGGTCCCATGTTACTAAGAAGGTGTTTTCAATTGGGAGTGTGCATGAACACAGTGAGCTGTAAAGAAGATTTGCTCTGTACATATGTTAAAACATGAGCCTTCTCTGGTACTAAATTAAGGAGGGAATGCAGCATGAACCTAATTTTGTACTTTTAAGAGTTTAAATAAAATTAGTGTTTTGCTGGAAATACTCCTCAATATCAGAGTGAAGTCTAATCCCCAACGCCAAAGGTTGGAACTGTCTGAATTTCAGTGGATGAAGGCAGCATAACTACCTTTTGATTGTTACCATTGAGGGACATGTCTAATAGGGTGTGTTATTGTTGGGATTTTACTTTAGTTTTTAATAGCACGTTTCCATCCTGCCTTGCAATCTGGTAGAGGGATGCTCACACAAGTCCAAGTTTCTGCCACTAAGTATAGGCTTCAAAACTAATTTGTGCACAAATGAATGTGTAGAGACAGGGAAGCAACTTTCGGATTTTCTTTTAAAGAACTAGTGAGTTCCGAAGAACATATGTGCTCTCATTTCAATCCATGGTAAAGGAGACCTGGGCTGTGAAAGGGGAGTAGTATGTGAGATGCTGAGGGCTGTTGTCAGGAAAGGAGTAGACATGTCTTTGTGGCAGAGCTGTTGCTTGGCTTGTTCAGAGCAGGTATAGTTTCTTGGACCCATATTACTAAGAAGGTGTTTTCAATTGGAAATGTGCATGAACATAGTGAATTGTAAAAGAAACTTTTACTATATATGTTAAACAGACAGAGAGACAGAGATCTGTCTGCCTCCTCAGAGACATGGTGGAACGAGAGAGTAGGTGTGATTTTAATAGAGGAAATGTTTGGAAAAATAATACATTTCTGAGTTGAGTCCACCTTCCATGGATTTCTCTCTCTTCTATCTTCACCAAAAGCTTACATACATAGTTTGGCCTGTTCTGCAGAGGTTTGCACCCTCCAGTAGCTCTGAACTATGTGATAATGTATGAGGAAGTGGTGACTATTTGACATGGAACTAAGAGAGAGAAGGAACAATCTCCAGTATACTCCAGGACAGTAGGATACTTTACTTTATAACAATTGTAGTCCATATTTTATAGAGAACAGAGGGGTTTGAGGGGACCCAACACCAAAGAAGTGATGTTTCAAGGAGATAAGAATTATCACAGGGACTTGGCCACTATGCATTGTATATATGCATTTAGTTACACCTGCATCCCATAAGTCTGTTTAATTATCATATGCTCACTAAAATACTTTGAGAAATATTGTCTTATTGTTCTACAAATACCAGACTAAAATGTCATGGGACAGCATGATTGCAGAAGCTCTTTCCAGGGAGGGGAACAACTCAAGAGGCTTGTTGTCATTTTAGGCTTTTTGTCAAATGGCATTGCAAGGCGTTTTGGTGACTGTGGTCATTCTCAGAGGCAGCTTTGTGACTTTAGGGTAATTTCCAGCTTGTAATGACTCTGTATTATTCTTCTTATTTGCTAATTCTTTGTGGACCTTGGGACAATGCAAGTTTTATGGGGGCATGGAGTTGTCTGGTTTTGATTGTATCGACAGTATTTAGAATAATGATAGGCAGGTGAATTTGTGAGTTCAAGGCTAACCTGGTCTACAAAATGAATTCCAGGACAGCCAGAAATACATAGAGAAACCTGTCTCAAAAATAAAACAAAAACAAGAAAGAATAATGGTAGACAATGCCCGATGAATAAAAGAAAGATGGTGGTGGGACAGACAGGTAGATGGCTGAGAAGACACACAGCCCACCTGGGAGACACAGACCTAGAGACAAGGTACTTTAGACAGCAGTTCTTACCAAGGGAAGAAACAAATTCTGAATGTACTAGAGCAGACACAAATTTGTAGAAGTATTTACAATTAGCTGGAAATAAATGATTGGACTT